ATCATCAATCCTTCTTTATTGAGTTTCTTTTTCAGAAACAAGAGAGTCCCGATTATAATTATTATTGCTGATACTCCAACTACCCAAATGATAATATTTGGATTATAATAATAAGTTTGTGAGCATATGGAGAAATTTTTATACGATGAAACACAGACTGGAACACAAAGAACCGGGTTCCCGAAAAAGCACTCTGAAAACCCATCTTTTATTAGAGATATAGGAATTGGACCTGAAAGGCCGTTGTTAGAAAAGTTCATGGAATTTGGTAACAACATACTGAGACTTTCTGGGATATTTCCAGTTAATAAGTTATCGGAAAGGTCTAGAACACTAAGAGATTTCAACAAGGAAATTGATTCAGGAATTGAAGAATTTAAGTTGTTGTCTTTTAAGACAAGTAGATTTAGCCTTTTAAGGTAACCAATTTGGAAAGGTATTGGACCTGATAACAGGTTATCTCCAGCATCAAGTTTTACTAGGTTGATAGCCCCAAAGATTTCAGGAGGTACAATTCCCAAAATCTTATTGCTTTGCAAGAACAACACTAACAAGTTTCTAGCAGTTCGAATTGTATTTGCAATTGAACCACTAAAATTGTTGTAACCCAGATCAAGTATTGAAATGTTGGGAAGACCTAAAAGTATTTCTGGTATTGGACCCTCCAAACAGTTATGACTGACTCGAAACCGCATAAGAGTCTTGCATGTTGCATAACTATTCGGTATCTTTCCAGACAACATGTTATCTAAGACAAGAAAGAACGACAGTTTACCTCCCTTGCAAATTTCCGTTGGTAATGGGCCTGAAAGGCTGTTTTCTGATAAGTCTAGGGCAAGCATAGGTGCAGATGCCCCAAGTTCAATGGAACTTCTCCTGTAAGGAAGTGTTTATAAGCTGATAACAGCTGCAAAGCTGTTGAATTGGCAATAGAACTTGGGATTTCTCCTGTAAGACTGTTGTTCTAAAGATTCAGTGCTAAAAGCTTGCGAAGGCGACATATGGATTCTGGAATTTTTCCTGCTAATTTATTTGTTGACAGGTTTAAAATTAATAGCTGTGTCAAATTGTTGGTTTAGAAGATCAGAGAATTAAGAAAGAGAAGGGAAATTCTGCAGAGAATTATGTAAATGTGAAGAGAAAAGATCTAATCTCCATTATAGCATAGTGAAAATATTTATATAAGAGCTATTCTAAAGTTTATTCACCAAACCTCCATAAATCAAAGAAGTTTGTCTTCCAAACTAAAGCTTAAAGCAAGATACATCACAGATTTTTTCAACTACTGCTACTTGACTTCAACTAATACAAGAGATGGAGATTACAAGATAACAAAGTACAATAAAATCTAAATGACTTCAACAAAATAATATCCAATCAGCTACACTATCTTCATCAGCAAAATACATCAAATATCTGTCAACAACACTTGCATCAATTTTACTTCAATGGAGCTGTAGCCTTTAACACAAATTCCCTAGCTCCTCAGGTATATTGCCTGAAAGTCGATTGTTGTGAAGACTAAGCTGTCAGAGGTTCTTCAACAATCCAATATCTGCTGGAATTTTGCCCTCGAGGAAATTCCCGTCTAATAGAAGATTCACAAGAGACGACATGTTTCCTGTTATTGTTGGCACTGGACCGTACAACATGCAGCATGTCAAGATTAAAACTTTGAGATCCATCATCAGAATGGTTTTGGGAAATTTCCATGGCTTTAGTTCTCCAATTTGATTGAAATTAAGCAATTCAATGCTTGTAAGGTTAGTAATTGACATTGGAAAGTCACCTCTGAAAAGATTGTATGACATATCAAGTACCTTCAAAGATTTCAACTTTGAGAAATCAGCAAACATTCCTTCTAGATATAAAGAAGTCATATTCAGCTGTTCCAATTGAGAGCAGTTGACGATGCTGTGAAGGATATCGCCATACAAATTGTTGTAGCCGACACGGAGAATGCGCAACTTTGCCAGGTAAGAGCATATACCAACTGGAAAGCGGCCGGATATTGACCAACCTGCAATGTAAATCTTTTCAACTTACCCTTGACAGTCACAATCGACGCCGGTGAAATTGCAGAATGGTTTTCCTCCATTGACATCCAATCAGACAGAGGCTTTCCTGACAGAAAAGTTTTCATGAGATTGAAGAACTCAGACTGGTTATAAGCAGTGACAGCATGCAGAGGACAGGTACTGGAAATAATTAACACAGAAACGAAGATGATGCAGTGAAGAGCCATTCATTAAACCCAGAAGCAATATTTAGAGACAGATAGAGGTAGTTAAAGCAGCTGCTGTAGAAGGCTAATTCGTCGTCTTTTTTAGAAGAAAAGCGGACATTTAACTGTGATGAACTATTTATTGAAATTGAAACAACAAGAAGAAGCTAATGGAAGTATGGATTGGCATTCAGATGAGTATGATATCGAATTGCTAATGGAAGAAGGAGATTAGATCAGTGATCACTTAAAAACTAACCAAAAGCATCAATTTTTAATAATAAGTCAAAAAAATAAAAAATAAATAAAAATAAAAATAAAAAAACAAGAAAGTCTCGCTAGTCATACCCTGCACTGCACATTGTGAAACTTTCAAGAGTAGGCAAACAGCCGCAGCCGGCCATCGTTTTCTAAATGTAAGGACAAAAATGTAATCTAATATAAACCTGGGCCGTGAACCAACGTGTGCTTGGCCCACAAAAATTTAATTCACTTGCCCATTGCATGCCGGTGTTTTTCATTCGACCTGCACAACTGAAATGAAAATGGACCAGCCTAGAGAGAACACAATTTGGAATTGCGAGAGGAAAATTTTAGACAAACGGCGACGACGAGATGGGGCTACCGGCGACAACAGTTTATATATCAACCTGTAAATATGATTTTTTGATGGTTTTTCATCAGATGAACGGATTTTCAATAACAGTTCAGTATTACTAATCATTGTGTCCAATTGCTAACAAATTGCAGAAAAGGTATCAGAAACCTAAGCTTGTCATTGATTTCCACCAGAACAAATGGATCCTTGAATGAAGCAGGTGCCTCAACGTAAAGCTTTCTTTTCATTTGCCCATCAAATGTTTTAACTGACGTGCATAATCAGAGGCTTAAAATTAAATACGAATCAGTTTTCATTAGTTTATAATTTCAATTGCATATCACATGTTTGCTATAATCTCTCAATTAATTCCAATATCTAATTGTTAACTATACTCCGTTTATATGTTCTTTCAGGCCGTGCTGTGACAGAAGGTTGTAAAAGTATTCAGTTAACTAATTCATCTAGGCAGTGTTCAGATTCATCTTGAGTTGAGTCCGATTCAACAATGTTGATGACATGATTATGTGCGTTTAAATAATGCACTTTAGCCAATTTATTTGGGATGCAAAGAGTGTGCTTACTGCATCATAATTTATCAACTCGAATTTACTGTTCCTTAAGATTTTTTAATTACATTTTTGTTCGTACTGATAATGATTATTATTGTTTGTTATTATTTGAGTTGTTTGCACTTGTGTAATTTGCTACTAATTTATTATTTCAGGAACTGAAGTGGCATTTCCATTCCCTTTAGCATCCAAGTGGTACGAACAGCTGACATTTTTTTTTCCCTTGTAAATCTTCATTATTTCAATTGTAAAGATTGGGCAATTTGAAATTTATCATTCTTTTCTTTCTTGCAAAGACAATTTCGAAAAGAATAAAACATAACCTGGTTATGACTTTTGAGATTATAAATTTTAAAGAATTTATCCCAATTATTATTCTGCTGTGCATGCCTGTTTTTGATCCTTCGATTAGAGGGTGTTTTTGATCCTTTGCTTATAGGGGACATGCCTATCCTGGGTTGAAGTTCATGATCATAGCCTAGCATGTCTTGATGCCCTGTCTTTTCAGTTGGAGAACTATTCTTTCAAGGTCTGTATCTTTCTTTTAGTTTATGGAGTCTCCACCATGATAAAAGAAATATTTTTTTTCCTTGAATCTTATTCTTCTTACAGGACCCCACAGCCATTCTTGAAGTTGAAATACGACACACGTGTAGTTGTGCACTGACATTTTTGCATACAGTACTGTGGCAAAAACCTGCGCACGTTATGTTCTGATTTGTCTTTATGCTTGTTGCAAGTTGCTTCCTTTTGCATATGTATGTTTGTACAAACACACACAATGATCATAATTAATAGTTTACTTCAATGCTGGCTCTAAGTCATATTTTCTATTATTAGCAACACAGAATTATCTGCAATATAGTATCGTTGTCATTATGAGAAATGGAAGTATCCTGATTTGCTTCAGGAAAATGACAGAAAATAGCTAGAAATATTTCTAGTTGAACATGATAATGTCTATAACATGACCTAGTCGTTAGATAATCACAGTACTCATCACATAAAATTTGAAAATATATTTTAGAGCAGTGGAAGAATCTTTTGTCTTGCTGAGAATATCTTTTAACGCATAAAGAGAGTTCCAACTTGTGAGTGGAGGTTCTTGGCTCACTATCTACAGTGAAGCCAATATGGTGGCTATTCCACTCTTAGACCTCCATTACAAGATGGAGATGAAGCTCATTTAGAAAAAAAAGAAGGAACAGGGAAAATACGAAAAATAAAAGATTTCTGTTTTCTCTTCTGTCCCCACTTAAATGGAGACAAAGATGCCAATCAATGAGTCAATCAATCAATCAATCACCTTATTGGTCTTTTTTCCAGTGGAAAACAATGGTGAAACTGGTCCTACCCATATGAGTCATGTCTTGATTTTAAAATCAGAATCAGGACTCCACTTCTGTGCAAAAAGTAATTGCCCATCGCGAACCACAACCCTCCACCCTTAGCAAATAATTGTGCCTTTTATGTGGAATTTTCTTTTCTTTGATAGCTTTCTTTATGAAAAAAAAACTATTGGCAAAGATAAAGAGAAAAAACAAAATTCTCAAAAGCCTGGGAGTGATTTCATTGGTAGCTCTTTGAAATATATACGTTATGCATATAAAGCAGTCATATTTGATTAAATTTGGCAAATACAAGCGCAAGAAAACAAAATGAAAAAGTATAAAATTTAAAAAGAAAAAGAAAAGAGAGAAGAATCTACAAGCTACTTTAGTCGTAAAGAAAAAAAAAAAAAAGGGTAAGTTGCTCATAATGATAAGTCTCCCAGTTACTTAGCGACATATATACTATTCTAAGATGGTATATTTCTTCACCTAGAATCCCACCCATATACTCCTATTGCAATTATAATTCTTTTGTACTGTTTATCTTAAAGTCATTTGACATTTCTTTGCTCTTGGTAGACGACTTGCAAGAATCAAATCTGCATGGATCTGCCTCAATCAGCATCTGGACAACCTCACTCATTGTTGGGCGAAGGGCTGGGGTACTGCAGGTACAGCGGATGGCAATTCGCAGAACCTGTATCATCTCATCCCTGAAAGACCCTGATAATCTTTTGTCTAATACTTCCATAACCCCTTCCTTAGTGTCCACTTTCCCTGAAACCCAGTATATGATATTCTTGTTCTCTCCAAAGTCTGTGTGTATTGGCTTCTTCCCAGTTATTAATTCCATCAGCACTACCCCAAAACTGTAGACATCACACTTGGTCGTTGCTTTAGATGAATATGCATATTCTGTCACATGTTTCAACGAAATTGAATGTAAAGGCTTGATAAATAATTAAAACCAAATGACACAACAGATTATACTAAAAGAACAAGTGATAACTAAAGATATATTGGTTAACTGGTGAAGGATCTAAGAAAAGATAAACGAAAATTAACGTGAGAAATGCAATGTAATCATTTATCCCATTATGTTCTATTGCAGTCTATCATAATTTAACTAGTTATGTTGCTGTTTTCAGAATTCACATGTCATTTAGAGACAAAGGAAATTGCATTTTGTTAAATATATACCAGTGTATAACTTTTTAAAGCAGCATAGAATTTAGTTATCGTTATGGACACTAATGTGGACTCGTATGTTTTCATTTAATATGAATGTAAATACATAATTGTAATTAAGTTGGATTGGGAAGTAACCTGGAGCCATGTAACCGTAGGTTCCTGCAATAACAGTGGTGGTGGAATCTTTTCCTCCCCTAGCTTGCAAAACCTTGGCTATGCCAAAGTCGGCAACCTTAGGCCGGTAGTTAACGTCTAGCAGAATATTGGTTGATTTTATGTCTCTGTGAATAATAGGTAGTAAAAGATCATGGTGGAGATAAGCCAATCCCTGTGCAACTCCAACTGCTATTTGATGTCGGGTGGGCCAATCTAGACAGATTTTATTTTTGTGAAGGGCATCCCAGAGGTTTCCATTTGGCATGTACTCATAAACCAGCACGCTGCGATTCAAATTTGAGATATAACAGTATAATTTGACTATGTTTTTGTGCCTTATACTTCCCAGGGTCCCAACCTCAGCTTTCAAATTCTTGTCTGAAAGCAGTTGATCTTCCGAAGCTGAATCTTTCGTTCCCTTACTCCACAGGCTCTTCACTGCAACAACTTCCCCACTTCTCAATTCAATTTTGTACACTGTCCCAGATCCTCCATGCCCCACTATGTTTTTATCAATCAAGCCATCAAGGATCTCTTGTTGGTCAAAACTGATTCGATGGAAGCTCTTTATATCAGATGAAATGAATGATGAAGACATGCTCTGATCATTTTCCTTGAACTTTTCATTTCTGAGTTTACGTTTTAGAAAGAAGAAAGCCCCAACTATAATGATAGCTATAGAAATTCCGATAACCCATAGAGAACTTTGTGTCTTTCGATTATAAGTTTGTGAGCATATGGGGAAATTTTGATCCCCAGAAACATAGACTGGAACACAAAGACCAGTATTCCCTGAAAAGCTCTCTAGCAACCCACCTTTTATCAGAGAGAGAGGAATTGGACCGGACAAACGGTTGTTAGAAAAATTGATAGAATTTGGTAACAACACACTAAGACTTTCTGGTACATTTCCGGTCAATTGATTGTTAGAAAGATCAAGAACATTGAGAGATTTCAACAATGATAGTGATTTGGGGATTGAAGAATTCAGCATGTTGCCTTGCAACATCAATAAATTTAGCTTTTTAAGAAAGCCAATTTGAAAAGGTACGGGGCCAGACAGGAGATTATTGCTGACATCAATCTTTACTAGATTAACAGCTCCAGAAATTTCAGGAGGTAGAACTCCTGAAATCTTGTTGCTTTGCAAGAAAAATTCAGACAAGTTTCTTGCAGTTCCAATTGTATTTGCAATTGAACCGCTAAAATTATTGTAACTCAAATCAATTATTGAAACATGGGGAAGACCTAGAAGTCCTTCTGGTATTAAGCCCTCCAAACGGTTTTGATTGACTCGAAATCGCAGAAGAGTCTTACATTTTCCATAACTGTCAGGTATCTCTCCAGAAAACATGTTATCTAAGACGAGAAAGTATAACAGTTTACCTCTTTTGCAAACTTCTGTCGGTAGTGGGCCCGATAGGCGATTCTCTGACAGGTCTAGGACAATCATAGGTGACAGTTGCCCCAAGTTCTGTGGAACTTCTCCTTTGAACCGCGTAAAAATTATTTGTAACTCAAATCCAATTATTGAAACATGGGAACCTAGAAGTCTTCTGTATTAAGCCCTCCAAACGGTTACTGTGATTGACTCGAAATCGCAGAGGAGTCTTTACATTTCATAACCTGTCAGGTAATCTCTCCCCAGAAATTTCAGGAGGTAGAACTCCTGAAATCTTGTTGCTTTGCAAGAAAAATTCAGACAAGTTTCTTGCAGTTCCAATTGTATTTGCAATTGAACCGCTAAAATTATTGTAACTCAAATCAATTATTGAAACATGGGGAAGACCTAGAAGTCCTTCTGGTATTAAGCCCTCCAAACGGTTTTGATTGACTCGAAATCGCAGAAGAGTCTTACATTTTCCATAACTGTCAGGTATCTCTCCAGAAAACATGTTATCTAAGACGAGAAAGTATAACAGTTTACCTCTTTTGCAAACTTCTGTCGGTAGTGGGCCCGATAGGCGATTCTCTGACAGGTCTAGGACAATCATAGGTGACAGTTGCCCCAAGTTCTGTGGAACTTCTCCTATAAGAGTGTTGTCATAGACTGATAAAATGCGCAAAGTTGTTGAATTGCCAATAGCATTTGGGATTTCTCCTGAGAGGCTATTGTTGTAAAGCTGCAAGACTTCAAGCTTTGGAAGGCGGCATATGGATTCTGGAATTTTTCCAGTCAGCTTATTGACTGAGATGTCCAAATCTATTAGCTCTGTCAAATTTCCAAGTTCTTCCGGTATATTTCCAGAAAGATGATAATTATAGTAGAGCTCAAGCTGTTGCAAGTTCTTCAGCAATCCAATCTCAGCTGGAATCTGGCCTGTGAGAAAATTTCCACTTAATTCAAGATCTGTAAGAGATGTCATATTTCCAAGTGATGCTGGGATTGGACCATAGAGCATGCATGTTGTCAAGATCATTGATTTAAGCTTTGCTAGCCTGGAAATATTCTCTGGCAATTGCCAAAAGTTCAGTTCCACATTTTCATTGAAGTTAAGCAACTCAAGATTGGTGAGGTTAGTCACTGAAATTGGAAAGTCGCCTCTAAAGATGTTGTAGGACATGTCAAGTATCCGGAGAGATCTCAATGGTGAGAAATCAGGAAGTGTTCCAGTGAGATACAAAGAACTCATATTGAGCTCTTCTAAGAGAGAGCAGTTGATGATGCTGTGCAGGAAATCACCATGGAGTTGGTTGTGGCCAAGGCGGAGAACACTTAACTCAGGCAAGTAAGAGCATATACCGACTGGAAAACGGCCAGATATTGACCAACCAGTCATGTCAATTTTTTTAACGTACCCTTGAGTGTTGCAGCTAACTCCTGTAAAGTTGCAGTATGATATCCCACCAGTGACCTCCCAATCAAACAAGGCATTTCCTGACAAAGAAGTTTTCATTAGACTGAAGAACTGAGACTGGTTCACACTGATGGCCTGCGAACTGTGGGTTAGAGAAATAAGTAACACAAAAATGAAGAAAATAAATTTAAGAGCCATATTATAAAAAGATATGTAGAGAGAAAGAGGGAAAGGTAGTTAAGATAGTTGTTGCAGAGAAGAAGGTGAGGAAGCAAAGAAGTATATAAATGAGATGATTGAGGGGATCATTGGTTGCAATAGTGCAAAGCCTTGATGATGAAAAAGTAGGTGCACGCAATTGTTCTGAGAAAGAAAGAGAGGTATGCATATCTTTGCTTAAAGAGACTTTATGCTTATACCCCACTAACTTATGTTACAGAATAACATGAGTGCAAGTACTTTATCCTGATAAGATGTTCTGGATAAACTGCAACTCATCTTAATCACCGTAGGTTCTTGTGACTCAGACCTATTTTGATCAATGTGTTTCTCTTGGATGGCCACAGCTCAAAGTTTAGCCTTTTGACCATCAACTACTGTGCACCTATTCCCATGCTGCTGTGTCTCTTGTATGATACTTAAAAAATTAAGGAGCTCTTTTTTGTGTTAGCATGTAAAATATGTATTCTCTGTCAAGTGCATAATAAGATAGCTTTTCTCTCTTATTTGTTGTAGAAGGCGCTTTTTCCATCGTCAAGGGCCCATCGTTGTCATTTGTTAATTTCCTTCCTATCCAACATGAGCTGAACTCTAATTTGTCCATTAGTTCTTTGTCCTTGTTTAGAAGGTCTAGGAAAGAGCCAGACACAAACCCAATTGATTGTGTACAGTTGAAACACAATTAAGCAATGACTTCTTATATTATAGCATATTTGGCTTGGCCAAGTTTTCACTAGTAGTTTCATTTCCCAATGCATAAGACAGCTCTTGTCTAATCAACAAAATATGGCAATATACAACAAATGAGGCAACAGTATCAAATAATTCCTTAGTTTAGACCACCTTAGCTTAGGCCAATGTAGATTTTTATGTTCAACCATCCACAAGCACCCCGTGTTTAAATTTTCATATTAAGTTTTGTGGGATTACTCTTTTTTTTATTTTTTTTCCTTACCTTCAAATTCTTGGAAAATATAAAATTCCTTATCCGGTGGGGGAATATAAGTGGGAATACTATTCCATCATATATGATCTGTTTGTGGAATTTGCATTATATTCCAAATTAGTTGTTTTCTTGATAAAGATTAAGGCAATAAGCAAAGGTACAATGAAGAGTTCAGTAACTACCTATTTTCAAACTGTTTCCTACTTTCCTTGATGTCAGTCAAATCTTTCAATGTTCTAATCTCATTTCATTTAATTTAATTTGCAGGTATGGGGCTTGTTTACATTAATCCAATTATTGGAGCTGTACTTGTTTTTACTCTCCCTGATATTAGGAAGGGCAAGCTGTTGCTGTTACTTTCATTCTGCAAAGAAGTGGAAGCTCTCACTCTCACATTTCCATTAGTAAATTAACTTCTTCTCTTTTTCTTAATTTATTGCTACAATGGATAATTTCGTTTCTACTTTTTGACGCATAAGGGGTAAGATAAGTTTGATTCTTTTCATTCCAAAGTTGGAGCCTTTTACAACGAAGGGTCACTGAATATTTTGGTCCCGCATTTTGCCAGATGTCACACAACCTTTCACAAGAGAATGATAGAGGATAATGGGCCCTCGAATAAGAGCCCAAGTGATTGTCCAGCCCATCCAGTTCATTAATGGGAATCTCTGTAGGATAGAAGTGCTCAATGATGAAAACGCAAAGCAAAGATGCCCACAACTCTCAAAAGCATTTGGGTGTTGATTTGGCAAGCAATGAATTTCTTATTTCTGAGATGGCAATTTCTAATAGGCTGCTTTAGCCATTCTCCTTTTACCGACATCTTCTTTTGGAGGTGCTAACAAGCGCTTGAATCACGGGCGCACAATAGCAAGTTGCTTAGCTGACAAAATAAAAATGGCAATGGCTTTTTGCCTTTTAGTGACCGCCAAATTGACAAGCATTTCATTAAATGGGGTTACTAGCTAATTCCTATTTTTAAAAAGTCTATACTGATCAAAGCTGTGATCAAGGGCTGAAAATTGGCCATAAGCATGTTATCAGATGATTTCATCATGTTGCGGAGAGCCGCGTCCCAGCATATTGCTTCTTATTCTCTTCATTATCTTTATATAAAGGGAGAAAGAATAAGGATGTGTGCTTTGTAGAGTCAATTCTTCTCTTGATATCTTATTTTTGTATCACTATCTCTTTCTATAGGATAGCATATGTGGGGTTTGCTTTGTAGAGTCTCAATTCATAATCATAATTTTGCATAAAATACTGTTAAAGTTAATTAAATAAGCATTTCACCATTAGCTAAGTTGGCAATTTAACACATTCAGATCAATAGCAAAGGTAATTAGAGCACCTATAAGCTAACATTAGGGTTGGTCTTGATACCTAATTTTTAAAGGGAGCATATTTAAAGTAGGAACATATAATAATATTGTAGGTATTGTTCACATTAGCATTGTTATTATTGGTTTATTAATCTATATATGGCATACTATTTTCAGACTCTCATTACTATCATCATTCACTAAATTGCTTGATGACGATGCTGATAGTCAAATATCGCAATGATGATTCTTTTTATTTTCTTTTTTCCATTTTCTTTTTTAAAATAACTTGTTTTTAAAATAACTTGTGCTAATTCATTTTTATTTGTTGTGTTGTTTTAACAACAATAACAATGGCTGAGCTTTAATTCTAAACTTGTCGGAGTGTCAATTATATAATCTTTTATTTATATTCTACTCTCTTCGTAATTAGGTTTGTATAAAAGTACTAGACCTTTTGAGAGGACTTCCCTCCATATAGTTTTAGATTTACCTTATTCATTTAGCATCATTTACCGTCAACTTATAATACTTACGACTAAAAGTATATGGGTCAACGTAGTTCCTGAAATTTAGTTTCATTAAACTATTTAATCTTTCAAGCGACGAAAGTAATAAGTCAATGACAAATAGTAAATACCATGTTTAGATATGAATGACGAAATAGTCGAATATAAATAGCCCTAATTGGCATACTTACTAAAGAGAGGGATGCAAGAATCGAGCAAGGCTTGATTTATACTTCCTAATTATATTAAAATGGAGGTAAGTACGCTATTGTACTCCTCATAATTCATATACAGAAAATATCCAGAGGCATTTCACAATGTCTTTGTTGTGTTAAGTTAAAATGAAAGAGGAAAAAAAATACCATTAATCCAAACGAGTGTTAATGAAAATTAAGCTTCATCAACATGAGATAGTGGGATCAATAGCAATGTTGAACCCACCAAACTTAATTCATAAATAATCCATATCTGGTCTTTAAGAGAGAGATTACATCCTCCATTAGCTAATTTGTACTAATTGGATTTTGGGTAATGAAATTCTATAATTGTTTGTCGGAAAAAAATTCATAAGCTATACACAGGGTTTTTTATTGGGCCCAAACTCAATTTTATTATATAGCCCTACCGCAGAACAGAATTATCTTCTACTTTTTCTTCTTCGGGCTCGTACGCAAGTCCATTGGGCTTAATATGCTGGGCTGTGGAAGCCACTTAATTGGTATGCTTAGCGTAGCCGAATTTTGTATAGATTGTTCATTATAATTTTTTGATTGTATAATAATTTATTTTATATTTACCTGTTTATTGTACAAAATTATTAAGATTACTAATTGAGTTCAAATATTAATTTTTATTGTTCAAAATTTTTAGCAATAAATTAATTATTGGTTTTCCAAATTAATTTAAAATATTTGTCAATTTTATATATTAGGATATTAGAATTCCTAATGAGTTTAAATATTCTCAATCGAATTAACAATTTGTTTGAAGCTGATAGGCCGGCTTTCACTTCCTGATAGTTATTGTCTTTTTCTTACCAGCTTTAATATTTTATTAAATGACTAAAATATTAAAGAAGCATATAATATTTGTCAAATTAACTAATTCTGTAATTCTTTATAAACAAATTATAATGAAGGTCAAAGCTAATAATTTTCAGTATTTAAATCTTCTTTAGAGATATTGCGTTTCACGTTCGTTTAAGAGGCAATCCATTTTTGCTGTTGGTTACAAATCGTAACATATAAATATTCTTAGTCAAATATTATAAGAATAAATAAACAGATAAAAGAAAACAAATGAAATGAATGAACTTAGCTTCCAAGGATTTGTTTATATCTGGCTTGATTGATCAGCTACAGCTCCTTGCAGAAAAACCCTTTTGACCTCATTTCTATTCACCTAACTATTGTTCCAGAATTGAAGTATACGCAATTATGGTTGCCTTTGTTAATTTAAATGTTTATGTTTTCCTCTCCTATCCTGCACCTGACCTGGTCATGGCTTGGCTTCCATTGACGAACATATTGGTTATAACTAACAAGAAAATATGAATTATAGAGTTTAAAATTTTACTATATATTATTTTTAAATTTTATTTTGATGTTAGATATTGTTATGGTTATAACCAATTGAAATATTACTCTCACAAATTCAATTTATTTTAATTCAAGATTTTTTTTTTTTTTTTATAAAAATATAAAAGGTCCAATGGAACGAAATACCATTGTAGACCACAGGGATAGCCCTCATTTTTGAATGACATTCACCAAATTGACGATAACTATTGTGGTGGAGAGCTTCTACGAAAGGTAAAAAGACTAATCAGACCACACATGATTGGCAATATCAATTTTATTTGATTATGAGTAAATATGCTATAAATTTGTGCTTGACAACAAAAAGGACCTTTAATTTTTATTTGATTTTTGGCATCTGCTTCTGCTGTTCTGCCCTTCAATTGTACTAACACAACAAAAAGAAAGCTTTAGCTCTCTACATCTCCAATGAACATTGCAAAGTCTTAACTAATATATATTACAACCAATCTCAACTCTAACATTTTACATTATATGTTATACATCTTCTAGTGGAAATGGCTAGCATAAGATCTCCAACCTTGGCTTAAATGTCAGAATTGAACCCTTCCTTTTTCTTGTTAGCACCATCTTTACTAATGACAATGCCTACCAGCTTACACGGTTCTGCTTGTTCTAGCATTTGAACTACACTTCGCATCGTAGGTCTTAAACTTGGAACCCTTGAAGTACACAGAATTGCAATTCTTAGCACCTTAACTGCATCTTCTTTAAAAACTTGTGGAATTCTTGAGTCCACTATGCTAAACACGCTCTCTCTGCTCTTCAAGTTGCTAGAAACCCAATCCACTATGTCTTTGTTTTCTCCATATTCTGCTTCTATTGGCTTCTTCCCACTCACTAGCTCCATTAATACCACTCCGAAACTATACACATCACTCTTCTCATTAACTTTGTATGTGTATCCATATTCTGCAAAAAATAAGTAACTAAATTAACTAACGTTACATCAATTAACAAACAAAACAGAAAAAATTTCTGATCGACATAATTAACTTACCGGGAGCTATATAACCATGGGTACCGGCAATTACATGTGTGGAATCTTTGGCACTATTTGCTTGAACAATCTTGGCGAGTCCAAAATCTGCAATTCTTGGCTTCAAGAATTCATCCAACAAAATGTTACTGGACTTGACATCTCTGTGAATTATGGGTCTGTCGCATCCGTGATGCAAGTACTCCAGTCCCTTAGCTGCTCCTATGGCAATCTCATACCTTGTCTCCCAATCAAGCTCCATCTTTTTCGAAATATGCAGACGGTCCCATAAACTTCCATTAGGCAAGTACTCGTAAACCAGAAGGCTCGAGTCTTCGCTGGTAATGCTACAGTACAGTTTCACTACGTTGACATGCCTAATTGAGCTTAAGGTCTGCACTTCAGCATCAAATTCTTTAGATTTTCCGCCGCGCTTGGTGAGCATTGGGGTTGTGCTCCAGCTCTTTTTCCGGCCACCCGAATCTGTATTCCAAATATGTTTGACAGCAAGCTCTTTACCATTGGCGAGCAGTACTTTGTACACATTTCCAGATCCTCCTTTTCCTATTAAATTATCTTCTTTAATAGAATCAAGAATCTCTTCCTCACCAAAGCTTAACACATGGAAAGACTTCACATCCCAAGATTCTTCCTTCAATGAATGGTCTTGATCTTTTTCTTTCTTCTTTAAATACAAGAAGTAGACAAGGGCAAGAACCAAGATTGCTGCTCCTACAGCAAAGCAAGCTATGACTGTACGAACATCTTTCAACATGCCGGATTCTGGCTTGCATAGCTGAAAAGTACTCACTGTTTGGCTACAAAGGCCAGGATTACCGCTAAAACTTCCATTGTAAGCTTCAATTGACAAAGATTGAGGTATCCTACCGGTTAACCTATTATGAGAAAGATCGAGTAAGCTTAGCCTCAAAGAGGACAAGCTGTCTGGAATATGCCCTGAAAGTTGATTCTCCGACAAATTCAAAAAATTTAAACTCGGGAGAGATCCTAAGGAAGAAGGAATTTCGCCGGAAAGTAAATTATGGGCTATGTTCAAATCATTGAGAGCAACACATGAGCCTAATGAGTCCGGTACGGAACCAGAGAACGTATTATTATGCAAATAAAGGGTACTCAGTTGATTAAGTTCTCCTATTGATCTCGGTATCTTGCCTGAAAATTGATTATCGTTTAACTTGATTGAGTTCAGAGATGTTGCTTGCGAAATCTCCTCCGGCAATTCACCCGATAATCGGTTGTTTCCGAGGAACAACTGCCAAAGGGCTTTGGCGTTCTTGATATCAGAAGTCACCGGACCTTCAAACTGATTTAACTCGATATCAATTATGTTGACTTTTGGCAATCCCCAAATTCCGGCGGGAACGCTGCCGGAAAGCGAGTTTTTACTGACTCTAAATCTCTTCAACGTAGTGCAATTCGCATAACTTGCTGGAATTTCTCCTGTGAGATTGTTTTGAAGCATTAGAAGTGCCTCCATCGTCCCTTGCTTGCACATATCTGGTGGAATTGGACCGGTCAAGTTGTTTTCTGACACGTCAATGAAATCAAAATTGGCCCAAGAACCAAGCTGTTGAGGAATTGGACCGGTTAATTTGTTTCGGTACAGAGAAAGATTCACTAGTTTCTTAAATAGGCCGAATTCAACCGGAATTTCACCGGAGAGCTCGTTTTCGAATAGCTGCAGAGTTACCAGATTAGTCAAGAATTTCAATTCAGACAAGTCGCCTTCCAGATAATTCATCGACGCATCGAATTTCTCCAGTTTAGTTAGGTTTCTCATCCCAAATGGTAATTTTCCGGTCAAGCTGTTGTTGTAGAGCTCCAATTGCCAGAGGTTCTTGAGCATTCCTATCTGCGAAGGAATCTCGCCGGTAATGTTATTATCGGAAAGTTCCAAGTTTATTAGCTCAGGAAGATTTCCAATATCTTCTGGTATTGTGCCTCCTATACTGCAATTCGATAGATAAAGCCAATTCAACTTTGTTAGCTTCACAATCTCAGATGGAAACAGCGTCGGATCAAATGGATTGTCCCCTGCACTCAGAGTAACAAGACCTGAAATATTTTCCAGGGATTTCCATGGAAAAACACCCGAAAATCCACTTCGATTCAAGAACAGGTGCTGTAAGTGAAACAGAGAGGAAAACTCTGGAAATGGACCGTTAAAATGATTGTTTCCAAGGTCCAAATATTGTAATTTCGTGCATTTATTCAAATCAGCAGTGATTCTACCCGACAAGGAATTGAAACCAAGTGAAAGCTTTTCCAAAGATTGAAGATTGCAAATTGAATCCAGAGGAACAGCGCCGACTAAGTTTTGATGAGACAGTTCGATTTCTGCGACGGAATTAACTGAATTGCAAGTAATTCCAGTAAATTTACAAACAGAATTACTTGATCTCCATGAATCAAATGCATCGGTGTTTGAATTCTGAAGTGCGGTTTTGACATTCAAAAGTATCTGAAGCTCGTCGGATTTAACAAAAGAGAAAAGGCAGAGAAAACAGAGCAGGAACGGAGAAGAAAAGAGCGTTGACATGTTGGATAATGGATAGTGAATTAGAAACAGAGAGTCGTAATGATTTTGAATTTTAATTAGACAAGAGGAAGAAGAAGAAAGGAAGGAAGGGAGCAGGAGAGAGAGAGCGAGTGAGAAGACGTCATTTTTAACTAAGGTGGCGGCCGGGGGTTCACATTAGTGTCTGCTATGTTTGCCTCTGTGATTGCTTACGATGGCTATTTAAGGGCTAACTATGTCTTCTTTTGCAACGGTCATTAAGGTTTGTTTATCAGTTATCAATCTGTCATAAAAAATATCCTGCCACTTCAACTTTTTAAATCAACTAAATTATAAATAAAATACTCCTCAATTTAGTAACTAAATTGCATTCTACTGCACATAATTAATTTAATTTAAAAATTAATTATTTCTTAATTTTCTCAAAACTACAGAACAATTATTTAAAAACCAGTAATCACATAATTATTTAATTGAAAAATTAATTATTTCTTAATTTTCTCAAAACTACAGAACAATTATTTAAAAACCAGTAATCACATAATTATTTAATTGAAAAATTAATTATTTCTTAATTTTCTCAAATAATTATTTCTTAATTTTCTCAAAACCCACAAACAAATAAAAATTAATTATTTCTTAATTTTCTCAAAACCACAAAACAATAATTAAAGAACAAGTAATTAGAGACAGGGAGTGACTCTATAGACAAAACAATTTATATATCCAAATCTCGAACTTGAAACCTTTGATTAAATGATTAAAGAGTTCTAACCACTCCATCCCAACCAATGTTTTAAGGAATAATTTTTTTTTATTTCATCTTATTTATACTCGATATTAACAAGTATTAGATATATAACTATCTTCATAGATTATTTTTAATTTTGAAATAAATAGTAATTTGATCAAATTATTTTTAATTTTATTATAATTTGGAGTAAATAGCTACTTTCTTAATTTTAGGTAAAAATCTTGAACGATTTATATTTGAAAAGTGTTTGCTATGTCATAGCGAAAATCTTAGATTTTCCATTAATGATATTATGAAGAATAAAAATTGTGTATTTTTTTTTTTAAATAGTATAAAAAAAAAAGCATATGGTTGATTTTTAGTAACTTCTCATAGTAATAAATGGCATGGGCAATTCATAAACATGACGATGGTGTAAACTATTTATTTTGCATATTTTCATTTGCGGGGATTAATGAGTGTGATTTTGAGTAATATGTATGATAACTAAAATCCCTTTTTTATATTTTTGAAATTTAAACATTTCCTCCGTTTCATATAAATTGTGCCCAGTTCCATTTTGAGATGTTATAAAATAATAGTATCTTTTTATTAATAGTTGTATTTAATTTTTTTTCTATTTTACCCTTCAATAAGCTCCATTTTTAATATAATTATATTTAATTATATTTATAAATTTAGAGTTAATTTATCATATGAATAAAGATAAAAAAAGAAAAACACATAAATTATCATTATATTAGTTACTACATTTTCTAAAATGTACAGAAAAGAAAAATGACAATGATTGCGGTAGAATTGGAATCCTAGTCAAAGAGACTGAGTGGAAGACCAGTGAAGACTGGATCTGAACCAATGACATTGTTTCTGCTTGTTGGGGAAATGGCCCACCCACCATTATCTCAATGCCACGAACAACAGGCCAATAGCCCATTGAAATGAGACATTGACGAGTTAGGTAGAATGCAAGAATGTCATTTTTCAGGGGATAAATTTCTAAAATTAGAAGGATACAATACAATAAATACTGAGAAACAACCAAGAACCATTTTTTTGCTTTCAATGAATATTCTGAAAAAATAAAAAATAAGAAAGAAAATTGTGAGCCAAGTATAGAATATCAAATTTTATATTGATTTGATTTAAATGGTTCTTTTTATATTCACAATATTCTTTTTTTTTTTTCATCTGATATATTTATCTTATCAATTTAATTATTCTCGTTGGATATGTATTTAGCTTTTTTTTTATAATAATCTAATAAAATATTATTCTCAACTCCCATAAGGAATATTGTTTCTAATCTTATACTGATCAATACAAAATAATTAATATTAATGAATAATAAATTTTAGCTATATTTTTTTAATATACTCTTATATTAATATTAAATATCACGTTTTAATAAAAAAAAATCTTATCAGGTGTGTTTTTTCCCCTTTTCCCTCTTATTGTAAGTCTCATGTTTTGTATTTCAAGGCACTAAAAAAAGGGAAAAAAAAAAAAACTGTGTTCAAGGAAATAAAAAATGGAAATTCTTACTTGCAAATATCCAAACCAGGTTTGGAAATAGCAGTTTATTAGAGTGCATTTTTTCTATATTATCATGAAAGGGAAAGAGTGGGTAAAGCACCGAAGCGTCAAGCCGCCGACGTTGACTCTTAATCTGCTTCGCTAGTTTAGTAGGCACGTGGATAATGTTATCTAGAAGACTGTCACCACAAAAAGTTTACAACTCCAAAACTCTTCCTTTACGCGCGTGGCCTCACTTCCTCCTCCTCGGTCCCTGACAAAATCAATCTGCGGTATTCCAAGAAGATGCGATTCAGTGGGGACGTTCACCATCTAGAAAAATGAAATAGAGAGACTGATCTCACGCGCCTGAACGATCTTTCTGGAGTAATTGTTTTCCTTTTTTTTTTTTTAAATAATAATAATTGATTGAATCTAGTGGGCTGCTGCTGGGTTTGTCTGTCGTTTTGTTGAGCGAAAGAACATTTGTAAATTATAGTTGGCAGAGAATAATTAGGGGAGGTAATTAGTGCATAATCCCAAGACCAACCGTGTGTTTTTGTTCAACTAAATTGGAATTTAACCAAGTTTAATAAAATCGGTGACTTCAAAAACCATTAAATTACATACATCATTAGATATTTAATTATGGGAATTTTGATTTGTTTATATTTTATTTCTTTTATTTATTTTTTATTATAAACATTCAGCTCATCTGAACCTCCCCATTGAATTAAAATATGTATCTCCATCCCTCATTTTAATTAATAAAATAAAAGCCCATAAAATGTGAAAACAAATTGTAGGCTTAAAAATGGCTGGCAATAATTGTCATGCCTGTCATCAATTTCTTTATTTGAAAGAAAAAAAAAATTAGAAAATTTCAATTTCTAATCATTAAACTTTTATATAAAGAAATAAAAAAATTATTAAACTTTATTTGAAGTAAGAGTGATCGATCAGACAGACAGTGTAAACTTTAAAAAAATTATTAAACTTTTATATAAAGAAAAACAACTAAATCAATTTGATTTAACTTTTGATTTTCATTTTAAGATTTTCGGTTTTATAAAAAAAAATGAAGTTCTAAAGCAAATTGAAAAAAAAAATTGTTGACCGTTCTGCTATTAAATCAATTTGAAACCAAAAATTTCTTAAAATTATATTAAACGGAACCAATCAATTCAGTTCAATCATATTACTAATTTATGCTTAACCCCCGCATTGACCAAATATAAATATGATAAATGAAAATAATGTATTCCCAAATATTATTATTGATGGATTAAAAATTAATAAGGTAATTGAAAATAGATAATGGTATATAATTATGCATATTGTGGTCCAACTAGATTCATTTCTTTTATCATTGGATATTAGTTAATAGTTGTTAGTCCCATTAGTTGACAAAAGCCCATGAATCCCTTTTTTTTTTTTTTTTTAATCATTATAGTTTATTCAAAAAATATTTTTAGGAGTGATATTTATTTATTTACTATTGTTATTATTATGTTATGTTCATGTTGCTTCTCACGTTGGCTCCTTCAAAAAAAAAAAAAAAAAAAAAAATTATTATGTTATTGTTCTGTTGCCTTTCTCACGTTGGCTCGCCTTCAAAAAAAAAAAAAAAAAAAAAAAGAGAGAGAAAATGAAAGCTTTGCAATTTTCTTTTTCTTTTTTTTTTTTTTTTATGAACACCACAAATTTGGAAAAGCAGATTCATTTACAAAAGGAAGACGTACCAAAACTTGGTATTCCATGTCATCTTTAATATTAAAGAAGACAACAACTACCGTATAAGTATGAGCACATATAAATATATATATATATATATTTCGTCTAAATTTTATTTTTTTTTTTTTTTTTTTTTTTTTGAACACCACAAATTGGAAAAGCAGATTCATTTACAAAAGAAGACGTACCAAAACTTGTTATCCATGTCATCTTTAATTTAAAGAAAGACAACAACTACCGTATAAGTCATGAGCACATATAAATATATATATATATATATTTCGCTCTTAAATTTTATTTTTTTGATCACAATCAATCATGTGAAAAAAGTTCATGAATGATAAATGAGATGTGACATAATTATAGGTATATGAATTCGTTTAATTTCATTTTCCTCTCTAAATTTCTACTTACTGTATATATTACATAATTAAATTTAAATTTATAACATAAAACAAAATTCAACATTAATTTATATAACAATAAAAATCTTAATGTCAGCCAATCAGGTGTGGTCTGGTTAATGTCCTCTCCACCACAAAGTTATCACTAATTGGATGAATGTTATTCAAAAGAGAGAGCTATACCCTGTTGTGTAGTCCATGATGTTATTTCGGCTCATTGAACTTTTCAATTATAAAAAAATATTAATATTAGATTTTACAAATTATATAAATAAAAACATAAAATTAGAAGTTAAATTTAGACAAATTAATATCCACATCACCGACAAAAAAAAACAGAAGTTAAAAATGACAAGCGAGAAAAATCTGAGGTTAAAATCTTGAGAAAAAGATGGTTTGGATGGCATCGTGTGTGTCAATTCAAAGATCCGAAAGCATAACCATAAAGATTACAACCAAATGCATATGCATGTAAATCCATTGAAAGTTACACAAGTACAAGTATAACCATGCAAATTTTATGTGTACTACCTTTATGCATGGTTCCTTTTCTATTAGATATATATATATTTTTTTTCCTAATTAGGCGGCCTTGAGCGAATAGGAAATCAATTTCCATATATTTTTTAAAATTTATCTTTTTAGTTTAATCAAAAATAAATTATTTATGCTGAGACAAAATAATTCATAAATAAAAGGAAATTTATATTTATGATTTGATATTAAACAGAGGAAATTATTAGTGTACAAATGTCGAGGTAAGGAAAGGTATATGGAGAGGTGGGCATACAAACGAGACTTTGGTTCTGGTTTTTGTTTCCACGTGAATCGCAACACAGCTGGAAGTCATTCGCATATCCTAATTAATCAAATTGCAAGTACTTCTAGTCCGCAGATGCAAAAACATCTTAAACCAAATTTAAATCAGTGAAGCTGAGCTGCTAGAAATTTAATTTGCAATTATTTAAGATAAATTTCTTGAACTTAACAAAATGAGTTCAATTTGAGCTTATTTATTAAATTTATTTAATAAATTAATCAAATTTAAATATGTAAAATAATAATTTTTCTAATTATTGAAAAATCATAAATAAGCTGAATTCGAATTAAAATATATATTTTTTATTCTTTTTTTTTTTTTTTCCAAATTTGAAAGAGGTAAGTAGTACCTCTAAAGGCAATGTGTAGTACCCTCGTGCGTCTGGAGAATTTTTAGATTGACATTTTTGGTATCTTCAATTACAACAAATTTCTTTTGTATTTAATCTATAAATTATACTCCATTATTTAAAAAAAAAAAAGAAGAGAAAAATCATTAACTTGAGAGGATATATTAATATTAGTGACAGCTAAGAAAATAAAAATACAAAAAACATTAAATTTTGCCCAACATATTTTATGTAAACTGAACTTGGATTCTTTCGATCTAGGGCTTGTACTCCTTATTACAATGGCCTTCATGACATTCAATTTTTATGCTGACGTGAGCATTATCAATTTTGAGCACAGTGATTAAACTTCATCCTCATCCTCGTGGTCCTAAAGACAAAAATAATATGCATCGTTACAACAAAGGCTTCTTTTCCAATTAGCTTTTTGTCCAACTGAAAAAGTTTTCTTTTTGAAATCAACTGACTTGGCAACTCTGACTGATTTAATTAGAACAAACCAACATGTACCATTCACGTAAACCTAACCTCCATGGTTCTTTATAATCATTTTAATAATAATAATAATTATTATTATTATTATAAATTGAAAATTAACTTCTACACTTTATTGTAATCGCTTAAGATAATTTAATCTAGTGGTTTATTCTAGCAATGAAATTAATATCTTAAAAAAAATCAAATACAGATCTACAAAAATTAATTTTTTTGTTGAAATATCCATAATAAAAAACAAATTGAAAAAAAAAAATTATTCTACTAGTGTTTTTTTGTCTCACTCTTTTTTTTTTTTTTAAAATTCAAAATACACATTCAAATGATTAAATGAGGAATCATTTGATGGCAAAAAGGTGGCATGATGAGCGGAAGGCTTTGTAATATAAGAGAGGTTGGAGTGAGATTTATAATTATATATTTGGAATATAGTTGGTAAAAGGGCTACTGTCCCTTCTATATGTATAACAAAAGAATTTCTTTTGCAATAATTCTTTAATAAATGCCACCTTAATGTTCCATCCTGTAACACTGCTGACAGAATTAATGTGAATGGCTATACTTATTAGTACAAGATAAAAATTGTAATGTGAATAGTGTTATAAATGAGTTAGCCAAATGCCCATTAAAAAAAAATCTATTTAAATAATGGGAAATAACAGAGGCCGTGATTGAATTTGATGTTCATGATGTTATTCAACTATTTATTCAACCAATTAGATGATATTTAATTTGTTTTTTATATTGAAATACCGTATTTATTCTGAAAAGTTCTCATATTATAAAAAGAGAAAAAAAAAATAAAACTTTTACTTAATTTATTAAATTAATAAAAACTTTTTTTCGTGGAGAGAATTTAAATATGAAAGGTTTCACCTAATATATATTTAAAAATTAGTCAAATATTCTCTCATGGTGTTAGAGTTTTGTATCTATCTCATGTTATAGAAAGGGGAAAAGGGGAAGATTTGAAAAGAAAGCACTACATACAAAGATATATACATTATCTATGGAGATTCATCAAATAATTGAATCATTGTCCTTCCAAAGCGAAACATGAGCATTCATAATCCACCCATAGGCTCTTTGGTCTACGCATTCACATTTTGCACACTCTCATCTGTTTCTGAAACCTAAGCCATTAGATCCTCAACATTTCTTCATCTCTGTCTCTCTCCCAACTATTGAGTGTTGACCATATTGGGTCATTTTGTTTCAGGGTCCCACTCCTTTATGTAATGGTGCAGAGTATCTATCTCATTAGTATTTGTTTGTCACATTTCCACTTACCAAGCCCCAACTTTGACCACCTCATCTTTGATCCTTTTCCAACTCAATACTTTTCTTTATTCAAAAAATTTCCACTTTCTAGCTAAATAATTGATTTTTGTTCCTGTGGATTTGGTCTACAATTGTTTTTAGAAATGATAGTTTTCAAATAATTGATGTGCCTATTCATCTTTTTTATTCAATCTCATCAAATAGTTCATAATGTCCGACAGGTTTAACGACGGTTAATTTTTTTCGCAATATAAACGTGAAGTTTTTTAAATATTTTAACACTACAGTGAAAATTGTATCAGTATCAAATTGAGCTAATTAAAACTATGATATATAGATACCAATTGCTATTAATAGATGTGTAAATATACCAAAGAATCAATTGACTTTATCATAGTTAATGAATTGAGGAGTAATTGAACCAACCTTGCTTTCATTGAATTATAATATGAACAAATAATAAATACAATGCCTCTTCTCTGCTATGTGGTTGATGATACTTCTATCTTCCACAAGCTTACTCATGTATACCATTTCTTGTTTTATATTTCTATTTTTAAGAAAATTGTGTATCTCTAATTTTTGTATTATTTTACGAAAATAATTTATAAATGGAACCATGATGCTGTACAAACAATATTTTCTATTCAAATTGAAACAATAGTGTTTGAGTCAAAGAATTAATATTCAAGAGAAAAAGTTCATCTTTGCTTCAAATAAAATTAATTAGGAACTAATTGATTAGCCATTCGTTGAAAAAATTGGTCATAATGATGATGTAGTCGTTTACCGATCCACATAAATCCAAATCACCTTGAATCCTCATCTACCCATAGTCCAAAATCATCTAGAAGGCTGATCCTCGAAGATAGCAGATTCTTCTAAATATAATAAATCAAACCAAACCAAACCGGGGACCCAGAATGGATAATTATAAAGTAAGAATCCCCTGTTGGTAAATGCCAAGAACTTTCTGTCTATTTTCTTCTTATTATCCTAGTCAAATTCTGTTTCACCATGTAACAAAACGAACCTCGGGCCATGCCCACGGCTTACATTTCCATATCCAATGGACTGAATTTGGGCTACAAATTGGACAATACAATATTTGGGCTCTATAAGCCCATTGGATAGCTAACTATATCCAATAGGCAATGGAGTTTTCACAGAATTGAAATTTTCTACTAGAGGATGAGTTCTGGACTTCCTTTTCTTTTTCATAATTCATTTTCTGAGAAACTGAATTCTTCAAAATACAGTAAATTTGCTCTTAAATTTAAAATTTCTCAATTGCGTAACCTTCCTGCATTTTCAATCATTCGAGGCAACTCGAAGCGCATCCGTCTGCTGGCCCAATCTCCTCATTCTTAACTGGAAATCAGCCGCCGCTATCATGAACGTAACACTTTGAACTGGACTCAAAATCTCCAGCACTTTCGCCACCGTTAATCCACGAAGTGCATCGGCGCTTTCCAAGACATTATGCACCTGCGTTTTTAGCATGTCCTCAGCTACCTCAATCTCTGATACTTCCCCGTCAATCAGCCGTCCAGATCGTCCAAATCGCCTCGCCAAGTTTAAAATAGGCGGAGACGCCAGACTCTCTTGAATGCTTGCCATTGTGTCTGACAATACTCTTTCTTCTCTCCTTATCGCCAATTTCACCTCCTTTATTCTTTCAATCTGTTCAGGCGTCAAATCCGTAACGGAGCGGTCAATTAGCTTGAAAATAACGGATGGATTGAAATCGCCGAGCCAAAGCAGAGTTCGCTCGAAAGAGCTAAGCCAAGGAGGATTCAAAAAGAGGAACGGGTCTTCTCTGGCGGCATTCACTTTCACCTGGTAATAAAGCTTATAGTGAGACAAAACCTGGTCGATCAAGTACTTACGGTACTCTGTTCTTTGTGCATTTTCTGCTTCAATTGCAATGCGAAGTTGCTCTGACAGAGCTTGTAGGCGATCGAGCCAGCCATTGAAGAAGGTTTCAAAGTTCTCGCTGGGTCTCGCCATATTGATGCTGCAATTGAAGCTCTAGGACATAGACCTTGAATTCCAAGCTACATTGTCAAGCAAAACTCCTCCATTATATAGAGTCAACAGTGAAGGAAAGAGAGGGCAATCTCGGTAATTTGAATTTTATCGTTGTCGATTTTGCTTCGTTATAAAGGGAAAGATTGATGTTTTGTCAGTGACGGCAAATTCTTTGAATAACTTCACGTTCTGAAAACGTCAGATTAGAGAACTGCATAGGCGTTGACACCTGTGCGAGCTGTTGGAAGGAGAACAGGGAGCAACCGGCTTAGCACTCACAAAAGCAATTTTGGGCCAAGTGGATGATTTTGGGCCACAATGATTACAATGGTTAGCAATTTAGGCGGTTTCTTTCCCGCCAATAGCATGTCGACTAGTCAATATCGTTTTCTTAATTATTGAGGTTTACTTAGAATTTAAAAATGTATAACTTGACAACAAAATTTAAAAAAATGAGAGGTAAATATATAAATTAAGTTAAAATAAATAAATATGAATTAAAAATTGGTAAAAAAATTAAACATTCTATTTTTTGCATAAAATTTCATTAAATTAGTATATCTAAAATTTTTAATATTAAATAAATATGCAGTAAATGAAGATTATAAATTTACTTTATCTCATGCAAATTTAGAGTTATTATATATAATTATTTTATATTATTTATTTAATGAGAAAATTTATAATTACATTTATAATTTATTATGATAAGTATGGCATAAATATTAATATAAATTATAAAACTACTATTATTAGAATAATTAATTTTAAGAGAAATAAATTAAGTAGAAGAATTAAATATTATGTAAGTTAAAAGATAAGATTTATTGATTTCCAAAAAAAAAAAAATATATTGTTTTATGAAAATATTAAATTTTTATAGAAGGTTCATTATTCAATTATAAAAAAAGATAAAACCAAGGCCTAATATGTTAGAAAAACAAATCTAATTATCTTAAATTCTTTTAAATTTAAGCGAACAATTTTCTCAATCTGCAAAATATAGACAAAAAAAGAGAGAGATTGTTCATTTAAATATATTTGATAAATCAGGATACGAGAGGAGTTGCTGTTTCTAGATTAACTGCCAGTTAGCTTGTCTTTTCCTCCTTTATTTACCAAAAAAAAAAAAAAAGAAAAGGAAAGGATTTAATGAAAGAAAAATATAATAAAAAGAAAATATGTAAAAATTTATTAAAAAGTGAAATCTATGTGTTTTTTTTATTCTTTCCTTTACTTTTTCTTAGCATGTTGACCTATGTATGCTCGAAGGTCATTGACATTGACTTTTTTGATTTCTCAGTGGTTTCGCTAACTGACGCTGATGAGAGCCAGACGTCCTGGCGAATGGTTACCTTGTCCTTCTTGCACTGGTTTTTGCTTCTTGACGAAGGTCTAAAGCATCGACAAACATGGGGATAGGCCTCCGGATTTTTGCTTAGCTCATTACTGCAGACACGGAGTGTACGCGGAGGATCAGCCTACCATACCATCACGACACTTCCAGAGGAGCCGGAAGGGATCCATAGGTAAGGAGGAAGAAAAATAAAAATTAAAAAATATATTTACACTAATTTATTTTAAATAAATTTTTATAAAAAATTTCTCAACAGGCCTCAGGTCATCCTTTCCCATTTTGGGATAGTCCAGTATCGTTTGTAATTTAAGGAAAAATCTTATTTTTTATAGTTAATAATTTAGATTTGTTACTTTTCATTAATCGATATAAAGTTTAATATACCGATTAAATGTTTTTTGTTAGTCTTCTCTTATGTAAAAAATAAAATATTTTAAATTCTCCTAATGTTTAGCTGGCATTCGGCCCATTAGGCCTCACAATAAATAAATAAAAAAGTTTAATCTTTATTGGAATAAAGTTAAGGATGAACAAAAATTCAAATACTGGTAGGCAAAACGTATAGAGTTCATATATGCGTTTCCTATGAAATTTGGGTCAAAATTTTAACCAAATCCGGTCCATGAACAACTATACAGCCTTCACGCAGCTAAGTCTCGGTTAGCTGAATATTAGACAGGACGGGCCTTTCAAAATGAAGATAATGCAGACTTAAGCCCAAATAAAATATCGAAAGCCCATTATTAACATTGCAAATCAAAATCAAAATATAGTTTTTTTTCTTTTTTGGTACGTAAAATCTCAACGCATACCTTGCTGTAGTAGCATTACAGATTCGATTAAATATATTTTTTAAGAATTCTTAAATGTCGCTTGTCAGCTATGATAGCTTATCATTATTTAAAAATTTACAATTTATATATTACTTTCTGAATTTTTTTTAAATAAAATATTTTCACTTGGCTCATTGAGATAGATTTTTTGATGTATACCATGAAAAGAAATTATGGTATAGTAATTAACAGATGCAAGGCTTAGATTTGAAGAAAATATGAGAATTTATTAAAAAAATTCAAATCTAATATACTAAAAATAAAATGTTAAATTTGAAAATAAGTAGTTCCTTATTAGTTTTCACTTATTTATATTGGATATAAACGAATCGAGCTAAATTAATTTTTATTGAGCTCAAATTCAGCTCGATCTTTTTTTAAATTCAAAAGTCATAGTTCGAACTCATCTAATTTAAAAATAACCAAGTTGAAACTCGGATTAATAATCATAAATAAGCGGAATTCAAACTTGAGCTTGAAATCTACCAAATCTAAATGATATTGTTTAATATAAGTTTTAATTAATTTTTATTTATGTTTGGCTAGATAAAAGTCCTGTCTCAAGTTAATAAATTGAGTTTAATAATAATTTGACTCAATAAACTTACGAATGAGCTCAATCGAGCTTTTATTAAGTCGAACTTTGAGTAATTCACGGACAGCGACGACTCAGTTAGAACAATATATATAATATAAAAGTATTATGAAATTTTATCGTAGTTTGCAATCAATAATCTCATTATTCATTAAATAAAGGAAGATTATACTTTAATATCCATTATTTTTTCCTTTCACATCCATTAATTTGAAAGTGTTTTTGGAATACTTAATCAGAAAATTCTATAAATAATTGACAGTGACATGAACATGTAAATATAGTATTTAATATTAACAATTAGTTATACTTAAACATTTAAAAAAATAACATATAATCTTATGATTTATGTATATATTTTTTTATTATTATCCCAATCCAAAGGAGAAAATACATTAAATCCTTGGACAGTTCCAAATCAACTCATGATAAGATACTATATCCTATATTAATTTTACGTTTACAGCAAAACACGTCACCAAATTCAGAAAAAGATGCTCATTCAAATAAGACATCCAGCGTGGTGCTAGAGAATTTCCTTGCCTTAAATCGAGAATTATTAGACATTGAAACCCTAATTCAATGGAGGATGTTTATATGTAACGGTAAATCAATAATATTAACTAACTGTAGGATCATTTTAAAAAATAATCACTACCTGAAATCACTGTTTCATTGTATAATTTTTTTGAAATTCAACTTAATAAATAATAAGTCAATAGCACACTAAAATAAAATTTAGTGATAAATACATATACGATATGTAATAATTAAAATTTGAATCTTCAATACTTAAAAAAGAAAAACAATAAATTGATACAATTATTTATTATTGATTTGAAATGCTATTTTCTTTTTAAATAATATTTTAAAGAAATTATTTTTAAATAACTATAAATAAAATTATCATAGGAAATATCAACTTGAAAAAAAAATTGATTACCAATTATTTTTACGAGATTAATAAAATCCAAAATAGTGTAAATATAAATCAGCTACGAGCTGATATAAAAAACTCCAAAGTGTAGCTAATGAAAACAACATCTAATTGAGAATTCTATAAGCCATGAGCTGCTGATTAAAAAACTTATCAAATACCTACAACATAGCTATTAGATGTGAAACAATTATGAGCTACTATAAACAGTTAAACCAAATGCCCCCTAAAACTCTCAACTACTTCCCTACTCTAATCCCTAATGTAGCTTTTAGGTTAAATCTTGTTGGTGGGCAGCACTAGAGCCAATAGAGAACCCATATGATATAACATGGGGATTCACTGTTGAAGGAATATCCAATTCAAGTTGGATTCTACTAGAAAATTTAAGTTGATTTTCAAATCTAGTTTGGCTCCAATGAATGTTCAAAATTTCATAATTTAACTTAATTTTTTTTTCATTGGATTCTATATTGCTTATAAAATATCAGTGAGATATATGAGTTAGTATGAATTGTCAAAATAAAATCGATTCAATATCTCATATATGAAATATATAAGATATATAATCCATTTGAATCAATTATTATAATATTTGAATCCACTCGATTGTATGTAATAATTATACAAAAAAAATATTTTTTGGAACAAACTGTATATTATGCTAAAATTTCATTGCGTAAGTTTACCTTACTTCATTTATAAATAATATATATATATTATATATAATATTTTAGTTTTGATTATATAATAGCAATAAAATTATCAAACTAAAATATAATAGTTTATCTTATTAAAAGTAGCACAATTTCAAATGGCAGGATAAAAAAAATAGGATTCAATTGTAGCAAATTGCAAATTTTGAAGTAAAAAAGAAAACCCGCCAATAAAAAAAAAAAAAAAACAAAACAAAATTTGAAGGAGGAAAAGCTCCGGTGAAGTTGTTGAAATTTATTTTTGACTAATAATATAAATGTTTAGCATTTCAAAGAAAAAAAAAATGTCTTTAACTTATAAAACAATAAAACGAACTATAAATATATGAAAAATCAACTACTATTCCACTTCCAAGATATTTACTTAACAAACACGTCTCTATCATGCACTTTAACAACTACCGTCTCTATCATGCATTTTAACAACTAATGAAGAAAAATATTCAACTTGTACTTTTCACTAAAAATTTTATGATATTTTTAAATTTTTAATTTAATTTATTATATATTTCAATTTTATAAAATTATATTTATTCATTTTAATTTTATCCATCGAACATCTCAAGTTATAAAACATTTATTAGTTAATTAAAAAACACAAAAGTCATTATTAAAAAATTTATACTAATTATATATTAAACTAATATTTATAACAATTATAATATTAAACTAATATTAATATATATATTATATTAATATATATATATATATTAAAAAAAAATAAAAATTTTAAAAATTATTGTCGTTAACGTGAAAAGATTTAAAATTTAGTATAATAATAAAAAATAAAATTTATAATACCACAAGCTTGATTTTTTAAAATTTAAAATAACATGAAATTTGTATGTCAAAATTTATAGATTAAATTATGTATTCATTTGGAAGGAAATAAATGATGAAGAGAGAGAGATGTTAGTAAACATACTAATATTAACAACGGTTGGCCCCATTGGTTCATGTACCTAAAACATCAAATGGCCTAGCCTAAGGGTCCAACCATCACTCTCCACGTTTCCTTTTGTAACAATAAAAACGCCCTCGCATTACAAAAACAGACTTGCTATTTGTATCTTTTTAGGGGTATTCCTGTCATTTTAGATTCAGAATTCCAATATTCCAAACGTCACTTGCAGGCGACTTGGCTGTTTAATTTAGCTTACCCCAAACCTCTCTAAAAGACTAAAACAATATATTTCCTTTTCAAACATTTGCCCTCATTTTCTTTGTCATTTACCATCCACGGCCTCTCCGATATTTTCTCGTTTTATTTCGATGAGATCTATCTGTAATATTACATAATGGATAAGGGTAGTTCTATAATTGCAACGATCGACAAAACCGCCAATTCACTCAAGTTCTTCCTTTCTTCAGTCCTCTGATTTCTAAAAGCTGAAAAACACTTGACAGAGAGAGAGTGTGTGTAAAGACTGAGATAAGCAGACGCGCACAAACTCAGAAACAGTTACTTCGATTGCCATAGATAGTGAGTGTTCGGGGCTTGTGCGTGTTCCTTTCGAGGAAAAGGGATGGCAATCCCACAAGCGGAGTCACATCGAGCCAGAGCTAGACCACCGGTAATCCGCAGAGTACCGTTGCGGCAACTACTACGTGTGACTTCAATCGCCGGTGGCATACAGTTCGGATGGGCTTTACAGCTCTCTCTCTTAACACCTTACGTGCAGGAGCTAGGAATTCCGCATAAGTGGGCCAGTATTATATGGCTTTGCGGACCATTATCGGGCCTAGTCGTGCAGCCTCTAGTCGGCCACATGAGTGATCGCTCCACCAGCCGTTTTGGCCGCCGCAGGCCGTTTATTCTTGTGGGCTCGGGTTTAATTTGTCTTGCAGTTTTAATCATCGGTCACTCCGCCGATATCGGTTGGCTATTGGGGGACAGGGGAAACACCAGGCCAAGAGCAATTGGAGTTTTTGTTTTCGGATTTTGGATTCTGGATGTGGCAAATAACATGACTCAAGGTCCTTGCAGAGCTCTTCTTGCTGATCTTACTGGTAATTATAGAGCTCCAATTTATTTAATTTAAATTTTCGCGTTATTTGATGGATGTGAATTAATTCTGTTTTGATTGGTTCAATTTTTAGATTTACTTCGTTTAGAACAATAAAGATCAAACCCTAACAGTGATGATTAGATAGTTAATTATAATTAATTACTTTACTAGGCATCTTATTATCATGTTTTAAAGATAAGGCAATGACTCAATGAATCATCTTGTTATTATTATTTACATTTAAATTTTAATTGATTGATGTTACTTGATCTTTTTTAAGTTTATAGTATTGCTTAACTAGTGGCTTGACGGAAGGAAAGCTTTCCAGCTAAACGGACAATTATTTTTAAGTGTTTAAAATGAGTTTGGGGCCGATGGATTATTTGTCCTGGAGCCAAAGAGTATTGCTTTTTGAGTGGTTGGTGGGGTCGAGACCGGTAGGCGATCGATTAGGGTCACCATCATACCACACATTGTCTGTCGCGGTGGGTTTGGCCTATTTATTAGACTTTTGATTGTCGTTTACGCTGTAAGGTTAATCTAATACCCACCTGTTAATAATGCGTTTTAATTTAGATGAATCCATTTGGCTTAATGGATTAGAATATTCCAAATTTTGCAGGCTTTTGTAGTTTCACCCTATCTTGAACTGTGTCAATTTTACGCCAATTTTGACATTTTGTAGTAATAACACTTTTAATTGCAAATGAGGATGTAATTGCAAATAAAAAGAAGTATTTTAATCATTTTTAGATCTATCACGTGACACTTATAAAATTTAAAAATAAAACTTTGAAAAAAGATTCCGTTGGTCTACTCAATTAATGTTCTACAGATTAAATTTTAATTTTTGAAATACATGTATTAGTTAATAGTTTAATAACATTAATTTTTTTTTTTTAGTTATCAAAAATTCCGAAGCATTGCATACAAATTAAATTAATAAAATATAATTCTTTTCAATTACATATTTTGTTTTCATATTTTCTATATTTTAAGGATGAAAAATCCTAATTGTTTATAATTTTATAACAGAGTCAAATTATTATTCATTTAATAAAAAAAAAATAACTTTTAAATTATTTTTTCCTCAAAAAATCTTAATTATTTTAATTGCACATGTCTCGAATATCATATTTCTAAATCTATAAATGTGCCACCCATTAGATGTGAATATAATTTGATATTGAAAAGATATTTTTAAAATTTTTTATTAGTAATTATTAAAAAGGGGTAGAAATACTTTTTCATTTGTAATTCCATCCTTATAGCAATTAAAGGTGTTATTGTTACAAAAAAATCGAAATTGAGGAGAGGCAACAAATTTCTAAATATTCTGATACATTAAGCTGATCCATTTGTAATATGTTCGTAGTTAATTTATTTAATTAAAAATTTAGTTTTAATGCCATGAATTTTTATTTATTCATTTAATATAACATGCCACCATGTCTTTGGCTAGTGATGTTTTTCTTCTTTTTTCTTTTCTTTCAAAAGGTAGTATTGTTTTTAATGAAAAATAATAACGAATTATGCGTACTAATCTTAACAATTAAAACAACCTCCTCATAAGTTTAAGAAGAAAGAAGAAAAAAGAATGATCACCGCTGCTCTTTTTTCCTATACATTAAGAATTCTCCCTGTATCGATCAGAAGGTTTTGGAATCCTGAATTGGAAATTTTTATTAACTGATTGAATAATGGAGCAGTTAGAAAAGCCGTGCAGGACAAGATTTTTCCATGTCAATGTATCCTTTACAGGGACCTGTAATGATAAATCGATAATAAAAAATTATCTTGCATTTATAGCCTTTTTCTCAAGATGTTTGGGTAGATAGTATATTTGGTTGTTGAATGGGTTTTAAGGTGAATGTTTTTAGGGCATTTTAAAAATAAAGCACTTCATTGCTAAGCTACATGCTGCTTATGTGACTGGGAGTAGAGGTCCTTGTCCATATCATGGATCTAGTTCAATTCTTTGATATAAGGCAGGGATGAATTCATATGTAATATCAATTGGTTTGATTTTTGTATCCGTTGGCATGATGGTCTTCATGATTAGGCCTGCTAAATAATAGCTAGCAATTGGCACTAATACGAGAATAACAAGTAGAGAGCTGTTTATATATTGGATCGAACTGGGAAAAGAAAATAAAGAAAAGAAAGAAAGAAGCAATTCTCAAGTTGATTGGTCACAACTTCTTGCAATGAATGACAAATTTATTTAATTACAAGTGCCAACGGCTTTTGAGTGAGAACTATTCAATACTCAAATATTCTTATTTTCCATTCAATTGTGATATAGTTGAGTTCACATTAGTCACATACTAGGATTTTCTAGTGGCACCTTTGAGACTTTCTATTAGAATTTCACATTTCAATGTTGAAGCATAATTTGTGAGGTGACGGAACCCTGAATGTAAGACAGGTATTATTTATAGTCCTTACTATAGTTTGTTGGCAAGTGTCTGTGCTCTTCATATTAATGAATAGGGTTCTATTATTTGGGTGAGATCACAAAGGAGATATTTCTCTTCCTTGTGAATTATCTAGTTTTTAACATGGATGGTTTGTCTTTAACAGGAGTTTGGAAGTATTCTTATATGATTTACAAAAACTGACCCATGGCACCTAACCACAATATCCAAAAAAAAATTATTCCTTGTTCTAGTGCAAAACTGACCCATGCTTTTGCTATGTAGATAGAAGAAACCATGTATTATATCTAGATATTATATCTAGAAACCATGCTTTAACTAATGATTGTATTATAAAATGGCTTAGTGTTGTGAAATTCTATGAGAAGTTGGAGCTTTAGATGTCAGTTCATGAAATGAATGTGTTAGTTTCATTTAAAAAGAAAAAAAAAAATCTTTGCCATGTTAATTGTAAGGTTACTGCATGATTAAACTTGTAAAACTTGTGAAGGACACAAATTTGTATCGCATGGATGCTCTTTAGATCCAACTAATTTAGAATTTTCTCCATATTGATAATGTATCTTTCACCAAGATAGGTCAAAAGTTAATTTCATTCAAGAATAGTGACTACTTGCAAATAGTAGGGTATAAACTCCTTTGGTGAAAGGCTGAATTGATTCCTGTTCGCAAAGGTCTAATGTTCTCTATTCCCAGCTTTTCCCAAACAGAGAGAAGGAATGAAAATGGAAGAATTAATCGTTTGATTTTATTCTGTTTAATGTAAAAGACACCAATCATCTAAGGCAGGAGACCCCATTTACCAGATTCTAGTAGATGTAATCCTTCTGGTGAATTTCTTATGAGAGACTTCAAAACTTTCATCTACCACTTTCTTATAAGCTTCATTATTTTCTCGTGCGTTTTACCGCACAAATAAATATAATCTTTCAATAAAATGACAGTATACATTGATTATGGTTCCTTCTTTTGCAAAACAACAGCTGTTACCTCTTCTTGCAAATTTGATATAATATTACATGAAAAGAAAATATTAACCAGAAAATCAGCAGCAATTTGACATTTATCTTCTGGTAATTTTCTGTGATGTTAGGAAAGGATCACCGTAGGACTCGAGTGGCAAATGCTTATTTCTCACTATTCATGGCAGTTGGTAATGTTCTTGGCTTTGCCACTGGAGCATTCAGTAATTGGGTCAAGGTTTTCCCGTTTACTGTTACCCCTGCATGTAACGTTGACTGTGCCAATCTCAAGTCTGCTTTCTATCTTGACATTGTTTTTATGGTAATTACTGCATATGCAAGCATCACGGCAGCTCAAGAATCAACTCCAGGTTTGTCTGATAGATCCGCACGCATTGCTGAAGATGTGTTGGGACAGTCGAGCCATGTGGAAGAGGCTTTTCTTTGGGAGCTATTTGGAACATTTAGATATTTCCCATGGCCTGTGTGGACAATATTGTTAGTTACTGCTCTAAATTGGATTGGTTGGTTTCCATTTCTTCTCTTTGACACCGATTGGATGGGTCGAGAAATCTACGGTGGCAAACCAAACGAAGGAGAGAATTATAATATAGGAGTCAGAACGGGTGCTTTTGCTCTGATGTTGAATTCAGTTATTCTTGGAATAACATCTGTACTGATGGAGAAGCTCTGCAGGAAGTGGGGAGCTGGTTTTATATGGGGAATTTCGAATATCGTTATGGCTCTTTGCTTTCTTGCAATGCTTACAATATCTTATGTGGCAACCCATATTGGCTACATGGGTCATGATCTACCACCAGCTGGCATTGTAACGGCAGCAGTAGTGATTTTTGCAATTCTTGGTGTTCCATTGGCAGTACGTTCCTAATTTTCTTTTGAACTCCAAGCTTTTCTGGTGTCTTATTAAACTTTTATAGCCATAAGTAGTTATGTGCTCAAGAATCAAGCAGGCAAAGATAAATAGATGAATAAATAATAAATACAGAGAAACATTAATAAAGGAAAGTTTGAGACCTAAAGTCTGCATTATCAGATACATAACTGGCCTTCACATGCTAATAGACACAACTTTTAAGGAATTTGATATTAATGTTGTTGATCTCCCTAGCTGAAAGTTTAAATTATGGAGTGGCATGTGGCTTGCAAACATGGTTTACAAGCAAGAGTGGTTGAGACTCGTTGGTTTTGTTTGCATACTTGTCCAAGCATTTCCTCTGGCTTCTTACCATAAGAAAACTGATGTCACAAATTACTTCATTGCAGATCACTTACAGTGTTCCATATGCATTGATTTCCTCACGTATTGAGCCTTTGGGACTTGGCCAAGGTGAGAATCTTCTTGGTTTTTTTTTATTTCCCTTGTCTTTTTTTTCTTAGTACACATCTTGATTATCCATTCCTTATCTATTTCTTTTCTTTTTTTTTTTTTTTTTTTTTTTTTTTTTTTTTGGAAAAAAAAAATCTTATTTTTTTTTTTTTTTTTTTTTTTTTTTTTTTTGACATTGGAAAAAAAAAATCTTAATCTTATTTTGCTTCTCTTTTCTCTTTTGGAAGTTGACCTGCTTGTCCTGGTGACTGTTTCTTGCAGGTTTATCAATGGGTGTTTTAAATTTGGCAATTGTGGTCCCACAGGTTTCTCTTTTCCCTTCCATATTCCTTTGTGAATTTATGTATTTACTCTTTTCCAGTGTGATATTAGACAAAATGGTTATCTTTTTGCTTCAGGAAAATGGAATCGAAATGGAAAAATATTTCAGTTTCTTGATAGATGTAATTGTGCACGTGTGAATCGTGGCACATTTCCATTAGTGACCATTAATTTCAAAGTACAAGTCCTTGTCATCATGGTATATTTATGAAATACATAATTAGTAAATTTACCAGCAAAAGAATTGCTTTTACTTTCACCTGAAGCATGAGGGAATGTGCGATTAAATTCTAGAACTACATTGCCAATTGGGGCTAGGTAAGAGGTTGGTGAGAAGAGATGAAGATTTGGGTAAAAATTCCTAGATTTGAACCTTAGAATTCACCACATGTACCAAAAAACAAAAACAATCAAGTTGAAAGTTGTGGAATATCAGTAAGTCATGCCGTTTAATTGCATGCATGGAGGCAGCTATCTGGTACATGTATTCCTGTAGATAAGTAACAAAGATTATCCCCTAGAATCTTCATCTTCTTGATATTGAGCTGCTGGAATGGCCTCAAACGATTAGATTTTTAAATGTCTAACCCTAGAGAGTCTCGCCCCACCTCTGACTAATGGCCATCTATTTGCGGCTTCATTATATTGTTGTACTTTGCATGTATGGGGCATACATAAAGTATTTTACATTTAAGATGATCAGATTACTTCATTTGTAAGATAACCCTATCAGTTATGTATGAAAAAGAAATAAGAGATATGCAACGAAACAACTCACGATAGATACTGGAGATTTGCATTTTAGCTTCAAGTTTCATTTTAATTGATTTTCACTCCAAATCTGGTGCACCAAATGATGTCTCAATCCATTTGACTGCCATTTGGCCAAATTATGGTCGTCTCTGGTGCAGGAGAGTGATTTTTTAAATCAAGTTTATGTTTGACCTGCTGTTCTATAGTTCATGGGTGTTTCCATGCAGGAATACATTAAGTTGTGAATTTATATTTAAATATTTGGGCAAAGTGAATCCATCTTAAATTGTAGTATTTGAATCCACCTTGTATTGCTAGTTAATATTTGAATACACTGTTTCTAACTTTCTATGATTTTATTGGAAACAACCATAGACTATCATAAATGGGGTTATAGTGTAATTACTGTAATAGTGGATGCTTATTGCAAATAATTACTTAAGCAGTTAGAAACATCATTTAATATGAAGTATAGAGATATGCTGAAGAACTGCTTTTTCCTCTAGAAAATGGAGTTTAATTTTACAAAAATAATTAAATGTTATTTTGCAAATTGTTCTCTACCACTTGTGTCTTCTCTTTTAAGTTCCATTAAATGAGACCTGCCAGTGTATTCAACACTGTGTTGAAATCTGCCAAAACAGTGAATCTTGCTCGTTTTAATTTCAGTTCATTTAAAGCAAGCAGGATTTCCTCTATCAAATGTACAAGCTCATGTTATCATTAAGCAGCGTGACATTAAAATTCAGAATCTTTTGCTGAAACTTTTGTAAAGTTACGAAATTTAAGTTCATGTTTTCATTTCAATAATTGTGAAGTTAAACCAAAGGTTAATCTTTTTTTTTTTTCCCCAATTGAACTGGCAGTATGAGAAATTGGCTTATTTTAATTGTCTTCTGATTCATTGAATGACCTGGTTTTAAGAACTGTTACATCAGGGTAGATTATGAATATGTAAATTTCATTGTGTCCAAAATAAATCAACACCAACTGTAATACCATGATCAGCAGAACTTTTAGATTTTCTATGTCACTTATTACTAAGATATTGAACTCTCTGGGAAACTAATACAAACGAGTATTTTAGTTGCCAAATAAAATTTATAATAATTTTATTTATGGTTGTGTTTGTGCAATAAATGTGATCTTTGATTTCGTTTTTCCTCCACTGAGTTCTTATCACTGATGCATAATTTTAAGCAACTTTGTCGAGTAAATTTCCCAGTGGCATAATCTTAATTTGATTGAAAATTCTATTGGAAAACAGTTCATTTTCCTTTCAGCCATTCTGGTATTAAATCTGTGATGCAATCAGGTGATTGTGTCCCTTGGAAGTGGACCATGGGATCAACTATTTGGTGGTGGAAACTCACCAGCCTTTGCTGTTGGAGCTCTGGCAGCCCTTTCTGGTGGACTTATTGCCATCTTGGGTATTCCTCGATCTACTCCTCAGAAGCCAAGGGTCCTCCCCCTCCCATGAGGTAATGTTTTGTGCTTATTTTTTGGGACGGTAATCTATTACACAGATTATGCAAAATGTCAAAAAAGAGGCAAGAGCTTGTAATTACCCTTTTTAATATCTATTAATTAATAAATGGATTCATATTTTATGTTTGCTTTTATGGATTTATTTATTTTTTCTCCTTCTCTGTTATACAAATTAGTGGAAGAACCGTTGCAATATCATCCATTTGGTCGTCAGCATAGTGTTTGAGCTGACTCTGAGCAGAAGGTGCTTTCATCTAGAAAATAAAAGCCTGAGTTTCTCGAGAATGTGAGAAGTCATGGAAGTTTTTGAAGGTTTGGGAACTGGTTAAAAATTCAGAGAGGCCAACTGCATTGTCAGCTGTAGTTAAAACTAGTAAGAAGAGTCCAGATTCAAGGTGTAGGTCTTGTGCTTGCAATACACCCTACAATCTATATATTATTAGGAAAGGTAGAAAACAAGCTCATATGTAAACACTGTTTACACTGTATGGCAACTCGATCGTGTATTGCGAGAAAGAGTATCGTAGCTGTTACTGAATGATGGGTAAAACAATTTATTAAGTTGAGTGAAGAATTTCCTCCAATGAAAATAAGCCTGCCAGCCTGCTGCAGTGGAGAAGTGATGTTCAGGATTGCTGCCAAGCTAGACTAGACTACTTTCTTTCCAACAAGATAAGTTGCTGCTCATTATGAATTATTTTATATATATATAAAAAAAAAACTATCCCAAAAAATAGAAAAAAAAAATAAAAGAAAAAGATACGAAATGTTTGATTTCCAGTCGGTGGTCCAGTCATGACGCATTGGACGAATCGTGTGCATTTTTTTGTGCCATAATTTGCTATATGAATGTGGTGAACTGTGCTTGGTGCCATCAGCTAACATGTATATGAGTTGTGCTGATGGAAACCTTGATGGAGACATCTCTTTTGTGCTCTGATTTTTCAAAAAGTTCAATTGATTTTTATGTAAGGTCTCCTTTATTATTTGTATTCATATATAATAAATTTTTTTATTAATATATATAATATGTATATTGCTTGTGTCTGAACCTTGGAATAAATTCTTGTGTTTATGCACTTATCAGTATCTAGAAAGCCTGTTTTGCTTTCAATGCCTCCATGCAGTGCTTTTCTGTAGAGGAATTGAGAATCACTAGAAAAAAGGCTAGTCTGCGGTGCAAATTGCAGGAACTTCTTGTTTTGGTTCAATCTCGAAAGTGTAGACCAAACTGGCAGAATAATCGAAATTTTCTTTTCTCACAGTCATGATTTTTGATGATAACAGTTTTGGTGCTGTTGCTGTATTGTCATATGCTTAGAGTGCATGTAGATTATATTTTTTGCTATGTCAGAAATCTTGGGAAAAGAAGTGGGAATTGGGGACATGTATACAGTTTTGTAGGTAACCCATATGGCATGAATTTTAGTAGACAGGTCGAATCCAGCTGCAAACTTAATAGCATGTTGACATGTGTGGTTATAGAGAGAGATGTGCTGTTGGTATCCCCTACTAGTGACTCTACTGCTACTTTCTCAAGCTTTTTCAGGAAAAAAAGAAAGCAGAAAGAAAGAAAGAGGTAGAATGAGGAGGATGGAATCTGTAGAATTTGTTCTTGTTTTTCTGGAGAAAGTATAATCTTTTATTAATGTCAAATCCTCTAAGGTCTTGTCGCTTTTCCAATATCCTTTTCCTCCATTGAAACTTGCATTTTACCATTGGATATCATTTTATGTCAAAAAAAAAGAAAGAGAAAAAAAAAAAAAAAAAATAAAGAAAAAAAAAAAAAAAAAAAATTCCCCCTGTATATTAAAATCTCCACTACAACAACAACTTGATCCTTGTAAAATGATTTTCTGATTGACAGAAGCAGTTGTATTGATAAGTGAAATGAATGGCATCGACCTGTGATCCTAAAACTTGTCATTTTCTTTTACTACAATGTAGTGGAATCTTTACATTTTGTTATAGTTAGAATATAAATTCGAAATTTGTTCTTTTATTTATCATTAATTTTTGTTATATTACACTAATTATTATTATTATTATTATTATTATTATTTAATGAAATATTTTGTCTATTGGATTTTCCATTTCATGATACGTACCTCTCATCTACAGCAACTTATTGAGCTGGAGACACAGGAAATCTGACATGCGTCGGTATGGACTTCAGAGTAGCAAATATTATACACAGTATAACCAACGATGTCTTCAACTTGCTCAGTCCTGACCCTGTTGCTCAAAAATACATTTTTTTTTAACTGTTTATTCCATTTTTTATTTTATTTTTTGTATTATTTTTGGTGAAGGTGATGATGGTATTGCCGTTGCCTCGCCAGCCAGACAAAGCCAAAGCTCTCTCTCCCTACAGAGAGACAGACTCATCTCTGTTGTGAAAAAAGGGATACAAAGTAAATGGTTGCAATTGGAGCACGTAATTGTCTTTCAGTGTTCCTTTTCTTCCATCTGCCTCTTCTCTATACGGCCATCTTCTGTCTGTCACAGCCTCTTCCATCACCCACCTATTATCGTTTAACATTTAACACTTCTTTTCTTCTTCTCCTTTTAGTGGTCCCTTTTTCTCTCACTAATTTATATATTCCTAGCACCTAACTCCACATTCTCACTTCAAGATAACCTTTTTTAATACTTATAAACATCAATTTAACATTTTTTATTTCTTTTATATAAAATTAAAGGGAAAAAAAAAAAAAACAAAATTACAAGTTTCACTTGGCCTCTGTTTGTTTCTATAAAATAACTTGCAGGAAAATATTTTTTACAATTTTTGTTGTTTGGCGCATTTAGAAAAATAAATCAATAGAAAATATTTTTCTAGTCAAAGGAAAATTAAGTTATTTTTTTGAGAAAACAACTCTTTATTTCTAAGAGCGTAAAATATTTTTCAGATATTAAGAAATCTTATAAATTCATATTTTTTTTTAATTTATTAATCATTATAGTTATTGCCACCAATCACTATTTACGATTGATCATCACCATCTTCCACCGGTGACTTTCATAATTTACTTTTTTTTTTTTTTGTATTTTTCTCTTATTTAACAATAAAAATTTTTAAAGTTCTATTATTATTATTATTTATGGTCTTATGAGATAAAAATTTTAATTATTGGTCTTATTGAGATAAAAATTTTAATATTTTTAATTGAATTTTTAATATTATAATCAAAATGATAGGGAAGTAAACATTTAAAAATTTAATTAATTTTTAATATTATAATCAAATGATGGGAGTCATTTAAAAAAATTTTATTATTCAGCAAATTATTTTGCTATAAATTATTTTACAGGAAAAATATTATACATGATAATGTTCCCTCAATGCCATAACATGGCAGGGAAATATATGGAAAACCAACATTTTGAACTAATTTAAGTTTAATTTTTTTTTTTATTTTATTTTTTTACAAAAATAGCAGGAAGGGGACCTAATTCCCAAGGTGTCCTTTTATACCATAAAGTACATCTGATATGCTAATATTATTTACCTATTTCACCTTTCTCATGAACTGATAGTTACACTTACATGGATGGTCCTAATAATGAACATCACATTAAAATGGCGAGCAGAATTTACTGTTGGAAAAGGATCTTTCTTTCATCGTCTTCTTACATAACATGTACAGAAAGTTCAGTGTTTCGTAATTAATGAATTTTATATGAATTAACTAATTTAGTCATTCATTTATATACATATTATAGTAATAAGGGGATCTCTTTTAACAATCCTGTGGTCAGCCATCCGATTTCCACTTTCTGAAGAAAGAAACTCCACCACGAGTTGTATTATAATTTAATTACCCTTTTCCCCTTTAAAATTGATAAGCTTGAAAACAACAGCAAAAATGAAATGAAGGAAATATATGTATATATAATAATAAGCCAAAAAGAGATGGGGCCTTAAAAGCAGAAATTAACACAAGCTTTGTCACCTCTGAAATTGGGCAAATTGTGAAGGGTATGTTTTTATGTTTTGAGGATTATGAGGGTTTCATCACATGGGCTGTGGCTATAGAAAGAATTTTTTTGGCATGCATGCCTTCTGCCTTAGACATGCAAACATCTCTCTGCCCACAAAAGAATATCTATATAACATGCCATTCTTAAAAAAAAAAAAAAAAAAAAACTTTATATACCCATTAATTTATATATATATACAAGCACACTATTTATATTTATATTGGGCTGATGTGCTCCTGTCATTTCACAACTAGGATATGGAATTTGCTTCTCCCACTTGCCACTACTACTCCAAAAGATAAACTTTTTTAATCTTTTTCATACCAAATTAATTAATTAAGACCTAATTATGGTTTATTAATTAAATTATCCAGACTTTGTCTAATTTTTCAAAGTTAATTAATAATAATAAATAATATTAATATTAATAGATTAAGAAAATGCCAATAGGAACCTCCATTAAACAAGTTTCATGGTCATACATGTAATGGCGGTAAAAAAATAGGAAAAAAAAAAAAAATTGAAATTATATATCGAATAACTCAATCACTCTTGTTAAAGATAAGGCCTAGAGCTTCTTCTTCTCTTCTGCACTAAAACATAAAAGCAACAAGAATTTTATATGAAGTGACTAACCTCTAATTTACTTCTTGTTAGAAAGACAGAAAGGAGAGGACCCCTCCCCTCTCCTTTCCCTTCTCTCTCTCTCTCTCTCTCTCTCTCTCTCTCTCTCCTCTCTCTCTTCCTCGCCTTCTCTTCTATTCAACCTTCTCGTGCATTTTTCTCTACTCTCTCTCTCTCTCTCTCTCTCTCTCTCTCTCTCTTCCTCGCCTTCTCTTCTATCAACCTCTCGTGCATTTTTCTCTATTCAGTAGGCACTTTTTCATAGCATTCTCTTCAAAATCTCGACACGTTTCTTGGAACCCAACAGTAGGACCCATTCCTTTCAACTATATATAGCCACTTCTCCTCTTCTTCTTCCCAAGTATCCATATTCACAACAGCTCTTCCCTCTAAAACAAACAGACCGCACCAAATTAAAGCTTTCAGAGTATAAAAGGTTTATATTTATAAGCATAGCATTATCTTAGTTTTTATGTATTATTTATATATCCACAAGAAGATATAGTCTACCTTTTCTTGTTCTGTCCTTGTTCTTGTTCTATATGTGCAACCCAAAATCATCATCTCCTTCCTCATTTCTTTTGTGAAACCTCTTTTTCTAAACCCAACAACAAAAGTATGGATCTTTATTCTGATGATGGTGAACTACATAGATGGCCTACCCCTTCCGAGGTAAATAAAAAATAAAAAGAAAAGAAAAGAAAAACTCATAGTAGTAAATTATTTTTCATCAACACGCATATATGAGTGTCAAAATATAGAGGACATTAATTAATACTTACTTTTTTTTCATGTTGTTGCTTTGTTTGCATTATTCAGGTCTTAGAAGAAATCAAAGCTTTAGGGAAAATCTCAGGCCCAACAGCAATTACAGGTCTTATTCTTTATTCAAGAGCTATGATCTCCATGATCTTTCTTGGCTATCTTGGCGAACTTGAGCTCGCTGGTGGTTCCCTCTCTATCGGATTCGCTAACATAACTGGTTACTCTGTTATCTCTGGACTTGCCATGGGAATGGAACCCATTTGTGGACAAGCTTATGGTGCTAAACAATGGAAGATTCTTGGATTAACTCTTCAAAGAACTGTTCTTCTTCTTCTTTCCACTTCTATTCCCATTTCTTTCATGTGGATTAACATGAAAAGGATTCTTTTATGGTGCGGTCAAGATCAAGAAATATCTTCAGTGGCTCATACTTTTATTCTTTTTTCAGTTCCTGACCTTTTCTTTCTTTCTCTTCTTCATCCTCTTCGAATTTACCTTAGGACTCAAAGCATTACATTACCATTAACTTACTGTTCTGCTATCTCTGTTCTTCTTCATGTTCCTTTAAATTTCCTTCTTGTTGTCCATTTTAAATTGGGTATTGCTGGAGTTGCTATTGCCATGGTCTGGACTAATTTAAATGTCTTTCTCCTTCTTTTTTCCTTTGTTTACTTCTCTGGTGTATATAAAGATTCATGGGTTTCTCCAAGCTTGGATTGCCTTAAAGGATGGTCTTCTTTGCTTGCTCTTGCAGTGCCAACTTGCGTTTCTGTTTGTCTTGAATGGTGGTGGTATGAATTTATGATAATGCTATGCGGTCTTCTTGTTAATCCAAAAGCCACTGTTGCTTCAATGGGTATTCTTATCCAAACAACTTCCTTAGTCTATGTCTTCCCATCATCGCTAAGCCTTGGAGTCTCAACAAGAGTTGGAAATGAATTAGGGGCTAATCGTCCAGCGAAAGCCCGCATTTCAATGATCGTTTCTTTAGCATGTGCTGTTTGTTTAGGCCTTTTAGCTATGTTATTCACAACTTTTATGAGGCATCAATGGGGAAGGTTTTTCACAAGCGACTCCGAGATTCTTCAACTTACTGCAATAGCATTGCCAATTGCAGGGTTATGTGAACTTGGAAATTGCCCGCAAACAACCGGTTGTGGGGCTTTAAGAGCAAGTGCTAGGCCTACCATTGGGGCTAATATCAATTTGGGTTCTTTTTACTTAGTGGGTTTTCCGGTTGCAATTTTCATGGGTTTCGTAGCTAAACTGGGGTTCGCAGGGCTATGGCTTGGGTTACTTGCTGCTCAAGCCTCTTGTGCTACATTTATGCTGTATGTTTTATGGAAAACTGACTGGAAGGTTCAAGCAGAAAGAGCAAAAGAGCTTACACAAACTACTACTACTACTACTACTACTACTTCTTCTTCTTCTTCTTCTACTTCAATTTTACCAATGTCGTCAAAAGATTCAAAACCACAAGAGGGTATAATTAGTAACTATAAGAAGAAGGGTAATCGGGAAGAGATATTGTGCATTGATGATGAGCTTGTGAAGTCAACTTCACTTGAAACAGATCCTCTTCTGATATCTTCAACAACTACTGTGCAATGTTAATTAAAAGTCCACTCGATCCCCACCACCATTTTTGCCCCACTCTTGAGGAACTGATGTGAATTTTTATTTATTGTTAGAGTTCACTATTAAATTCCACTTGTACTCTAGAATTAAAAACCTTTTCTTTCTTTTTTTTTTTCTATCTTTTTTGGAAGATGGGGGCTTTTTTGTTTCTTTGATTTTCTAATTTTCTTCCTCTTTGTTTGTATTAATAACATTGTAGAATAGAGTAATATACTTTTTCATTATCTTTTTGGAGTTCTCCATATTGGCATTGAGAAGAGAGAAAGAATAAGAGATGGAGAGAGAGAAAGAAAAGAAAAAAAGGGTTAAGCTGTCGGTTGTTTTTAAAGCTTAAACTTTCTTGTTGTTCCCTTCCCTATTGGGTAACAACCTTGACTACCTAAAATGGAAAATTAGCATAATACCTTCTAAACTTTGCCAAAATCTCTTCCTCTAGCTACCCTATTCAACAATAGCCTCTTAATTATTATTAATAATTATAATATATAAGCATAAAGTTTTGTTCTTCTAACCGGAGGTGGACAAAGAGGCAGTTCAGTTCTACAAAAATCGATAATAGTTTGTGCTTGAAACTAAATCAAATTGAAGTAAATTTGAAAATTGAATCAAACCGGTCGATTTGGTACACGTTGATTCGCTCGATTTTACTTAAAATAAGTGTTTTGTAATAACAAATCTAAAATTCAAATCGAAATTAAATAACCGAAAATAATTCAATTTTGGAAATTTTCCTAAAATTTGCTCATCCCCATTTCCAACACATGAGTGCGGAATCCAGTACCGTCAGTAATCTTTTAATTTAAGCAATACATTCCCCTTATATACAAAAACTACAGTGGATTCTTCTTTTGATGGACCTCCATTTTGTTAAAAGAATATGCATATAGTTCAACATTAAGGGCCATTATACTTTACACTTTCTTTTAATATCTTGCACATATAGGGGCAAAAACAGAAAAAAAAAAAAAAAAAAAAAACACTTTCTTAATATCTTGCACATATAGGGGGCAAAAAACAGAAAAAAAAAAAAAAAAAAAAGAAAAGAAAAAGACTCTTCTTTGGAATTTAATTAGCTTTAGGCAAGCCAATATTTTTATTGCGCTTTTGATATATTGGCCACACTTTTATTAACCTGCTTCCATTACTTTTTATAACCACAAAATGGATGTCTTTTTCCAATTTTCTCCTTGATATTTATTATTATTATTATATATATATATATATATATATCTTATATATATATCTTATGACACATAGAAAAAATAGAGACGACCCTTTCGCTACTGTCACACTCTTATTTAATTTATGTTGAATTTTCAGGCCAAATTATATAATGTCGTTTTATTTGTACAGGGAAGATATTATTTTGTAATTGATTACTGCATCTACTTCTATAGCCACAGCATTTATATAAATTGAGAAAAACAGAATTAATTAAGGTAAATTACAAATTTAAGATGGTGTAAATATATTAATTTAAGCAACAAAGTAAAAGAGGGAGAGTAAATGTAAAAATATAGGGAAGAGTGAATGAGGGTAGTGGACAAAATAAAGAAAAAAGTAAAATAAGAAGATAATGGGCATGTTGTTGCAGCAGAAGCAGAAGGAGCAGTAGAGAAGTATCTACTGAAGGGGGCCATGGATATATGGAGGAGAGGGGGGGCCCTGCTTCTAACTCAAGAAACAAAATCCAGCCATTATTGCCTCTGTCTACTTCTCAGATGACAAATTTACTACCGATGCCTCTGAGTTACCCACTTCCCCACACCCCACCACCTTCATTTTCTCTCTTTTTATTTATATATATACACATACAAATCAGAACACACAGAGAGAGGGATAACAAATTAAGGCTTGGCTGGGCCATCCCATTTATTATTATTTGTTTATTTTATATCTATACTTATGTATGTATGTGAAGGCAGTGCTATACGATCCACTTCCCTTATCTTCTTTGCCAATGTGCATATGTGTGTATATATATATATTCTCAGTCTCTATCTTGCTAGCTAGCTAACTATATCTTTGTATATAACTCCATGTATGCCCATATGTAATTGTGGCATGGAATTGTCGTTGTAATGAATGGTGATTGGTGTGATATCAAGTCTTACTGTATCATCTTTCAATTCAATCAGTTTTCAGAACCGATTTAACTTTAAAAAAAAAAAAAAAGGGTTAACTTCTATTTCGAGTGCAGAATCAACTCTATTAAATTAGAAATTTCAATTTAATTTCCGAATTGAAAATATTATGGCAACAGATGTTAAATTCTATTCAGGCATTCTATGTATAATACCATAGTTAATGATGTATAATCGTAATTCCTCGTGATTGTTCCTTTGATGGAGAAATGGAGATGAGGATGACAACAAAAGAACTTGTTGGGTGTTTGCTCCCCTACATAATAAACATGAAAGAGAGATGCTTTAATTTGTTCGCAAGTTGAAACTAGTAGACAGTGTTGGGTTGGTTGGTCAGTGTTCGTGCACATCGGTACAGATGTGCGCAGTTTGGATAAATAGGGAGCCCCTCCAGCCTCAGTCCCCCTTCTAACAGGACAACTCCCTTCCTTTCAAATTTAATTTTTGTACTATTAAGAATTATATATATCGGTCCTACTCTTTTTTTTTTTTTTTTTTTTTTTTTTTTTTATATTATATCGGTCCTACTTCTTTTTTTTTTTTTTTTTTTTCTCTTTTCATATAAAGTCCAATTTCATTTCTACTGTTTTTTTTTTTTTTTTTTTTTTTTTCTTTTTCATATAAAGTCCAATTTCATTTCTACTGTATATATACATATTTATATGGGCCCCCTGCCCTTATTGGTTTTTCATTTAACATTGTATAATTACATTATAAAATTGATTGAGGTAATAATTTCTTTTATATATGATTTTCCATCAAATTAATGAAATGGATTCTACAATTTTCTATGAAAAAAAAAAAAAAGAAAAGAAAAGAGGAAAAAAAGCTGATATATGTATGTAGGGCAGCATGGGGCAGAAGATGAAAAGGAACAAAAATCTTGTGCGCTTATTGTTAAGCTTGGAATAATTTATGGTGATCTCTTTATGGTTGGAATCTTCTAATATCGGATATATCCATCATTGTCCAGCACATCAATGTTAAACTTTGAATCGAATAAGTTTAGGCCACGTGGCACGAACAATATTTGTCAATCGTCTATTATTCGATAAAATAGTTGATCATAATACGACATGTGTTTTCCAACTCAATCCAACTTTTTCTTAAACTTAGTAGTCTACCCAATAGCATCATTCTATGTGCCACAGAAAAGATAAACTAAAAAAAATAATAAAAAAACCCTTTTTTGCAATTAGGGTTTTTTTAATAGAAACAAAACACAATCAAACCGCCCCATTCAAATTCCCAATTGGTGGAGAATAGTGGTTGGCTTCAATTCAGCAAAAAGAAACCCTAAAAAAAAGAATAGAAAATACTTAAAAGGAATTGCTTTAACTAGCTTAATTAATATTTATTCAAAAAAGAAAAACCTAGTTTAGTTAATAGAGAATTTCTTTTAGTAAATTGACATATTAAAAAAAAAAAAGAAGCTCTAATCATATACCTAAAACTGGTATCGGGGATATGTCCCTTTTCCCTAAAAATGTCTTTTCAAAAGCCAACACATAATTCTTTTATTGAGAGCAATTATAAGTGCACCTTATCACCTTCATAAGTGAAAGGAGGCTGTGGCCACTACATGTTTTACCATAACAAGTGTTGGAGGACGACCTCCTCATCTTCGCAAAAAAAGAACAACTTTGCCTATTCTTCTTTGGATTCCTTCCATGGCCGAAAGTCCCACCTTCAAGCTCTATAAAGCCTATATTTAATTACTTAATTAACAATAATTAATCCTACTACAACAATAACCACACATACAGCCAATTAAATAATACCCTTTGATTCAAAATTAGAAAATTTTCCAAATGTTGGATGTGCGGTTTCTAAATTTAATATATATATATGCCTGGCCTGCACAGTAGCATCCCTAAAATTATTGCCCCTTTAGTGCATCGTACGACCCATGTCTCCCGCAGCCATTGCCTTTATGCATTATTGTGTACTCCGTTACAAAAACATGCATGCAAATTGCAATTTTACACATAAAATGAAATCAAGATTTGATTACCACATTTTTATTTTCAATGTTTCAACTTAATTATTTAATTACCTTAATAAAATTCATCGACTAATTAAATTAAATTGTAGCCCAATTCATAACGATCATATACTTTCAAAGAGGGAGGGGCTGTAGGGTTAGTTCAACGAAAATGGATGATGGAACTGTTTTATATAATTTAGTTATTCATAACATATACGTATTGTACCATTCAAAGATGCCAATCGTATGGTATATAATATGAAGGACACGGTGAGTTCCGTAATGGCTTTCTAAAAGGGTCCCCTATAATAGATTATAGATTGATAGAGAATGCATGGTGGAATTGTTGGACCATTTCTAAAGAAAAATAAATAAATACATAAATAAAATAATAGTATATTTTTTTATTTAATTTATTCTTGTTAATGGCACGTGTACTAAGTGACGGACACGTTCTGAAGCCCCCCTTTTTTTTTAGTGTCACCTTGTAGTGGGGGCTCTGGGTAACACATTAGAGGGAACAACTGTTGTTATTTGTTGGGTAGGAGGTAGTGAATTTTGGGGGACTCTTTTTTTTTTTTTTTTTGGTTGTGGGTAGGAGGTAGTGAATTTTGGGGCGGACTCTTTTTTTTTTTTTTTGGTTTGTTTTTTTTTTTTTTTTTTTGGGTTTGTTTTGACTATTTTCTTCAGTTTTCTAATTTTTTTTTTTAAATTCTCCTTGCACTTCTTCTTCGTAAGTTTTTTTTCACAAATTTAATACTTAATCTTGAAAAAATCATCCGCTAAATTCAGACGTGTCTACTATTTCCGGGTTTTATTTTTCGAATATAAATATATCAGTCCACTTAATAATTATATTAATCCAATACTTTTTACTTTTAATTGATTATAGTTTGAAGCAAAAATAGTAATAAAAACAAGTTAATTATTCTAATTAAAAAACCTAAAAGGTCAATGTACAATAATACGATGATAACTAACCACCCTTAATGATGGAAGATGAGCCACGCCTTTTGCCACTAGCACACAATAACCAAAAAGAAATAAATAAATATTTCTTAGATTAATTTTTTTATATCGGGAAGAAAATATGTAAAGACATATGGTAAGAGTACTTGTCCTTTTTATGCTAATACACGTGTACCATATAGCTAGGGCTAAAACGGGTTAAATAACTAAGTTTCATATGTATTGATGCTTGATAGCAGAGTACCTTTGCTTGGAAGTGAAAGGGAAGCATATATATATATATAAACATGACTAAAAAAACTCTTCCTTCAACACTTAGTAGTGATGTTTGACATTTTGTTTTGTTTGTTTGTTTATGATTTTTAGTGTTTGACCCTTTTATTTTTTTTTCAATTGGTGGGTTTGACCATTGTATATATATATATATTGCTAGCTTAGCTGGTCTTCAACTACATCGACATTTCTTCTAATAAAAAAAAAGAACGAAGCACATAACCAATTAGAATATTTGTAAAGCTAGTGGGAATAGGAGTCCAAGAAGCTATTGACTCTATATGAAATTGAATTTGAAAGTCAAGTAAAAATTGGTTAAAATTATTGACTTTTCTTCTAATTAATCCATTTCTTGATTTTAGCTCAATCATTGGTGTTGTATAGCACATTTTTATTTTTATTTTTTTGTTTTTTAATAATTAGATTATTTTTCAACATGATTTGATGGTACATTACCTCGGCTCGATGCATCCAAAAATTTCAATTTTGATATTGAATTCTTGACTTTATAAGTTAATTTCGTTTAGAAATGTAATCCATCCTTGGCGACGTCCTTTTTTTTTATTTATTTGTTTTATGGAAGGAAGATCCTTAAAGAAGCAACATGCCTTGTTGTGGTGGGGTTGGCAATATTTTCCACGGTCAAATTATGGTTAATTACTCAAGACTGAAGAGACCGAGTCAAAAGAGACACTTGTTGGTCTTAAGAGAACGACAAAGATTTTGGGTCTTTCAAGCACACAGACTTTTTTTTTTTTTTTTTTTTTTTTTATTTTGGGGTCTTTCAAGCACACAGACTTTTTTTTTTTTTTTTTTTTTTTTTTTTTTTTTTTTTTTTTTTTTTTTTGAAAGGCTTTCAAGCACACAGACTATGTCATACGAAACCCATTAACCACATGTATACATACATATATATAAATGTGCTTGTTTGTGATTAACACAAGTCACTGAAAGTGCAATTCTTACCCCATATGACATATGATGTTTGGTTTCCATTTTATTATAAATATAAATAGAAACGACAAGAGAAATTTTCTCACGTTTAATGATAATATGATCATCATAAATCATAATAACCTTTTGTCTTGTTTTATGTGATAATGTACAAAATGAGTATGCCATTATTATTATTATTATTATATTATTATTATTATTATTATTGTGGTCTTACCAATGAGCACTCATCGAAGGAAAACCTTTTATGCAAGTCCAAGTTTGCGTCTTAGAAACCAACGTCCATTTATTTCCTCAACAATGACATTACAAGGCTTGTCAGTAGTTGCATATAAGAAAACTTAAAAAAAAAAAAATAAAAAAAAAAAAAAAAAAGTGCACGTTAGTTATTTCTTCTATCATTGATATTTTCTAAAAGAATAAATATCATAGGTTTTTAATCTGAAAATTATCTGTATTAATTTATGAAAAAAACGAATTTATGGTGTAGCATTTAGTAATTAGAGAGTTAAACGGGTCAAATCATTTGTAAACTTTTTGAGACTTTTTTAAAAAAATTCGCTTGATAAATTTCAAAAGCCTGATTTTAACCAATTTATTAAACTTATTTCATAAATAAGCCGAATTTAAACTTTAAAATGAGACTCACGAGATAAGCTAGCTTGCGAGTTAGAGTCTCGACAAGCTAAAAAGCGTTTAAATAAGCTCAAGCTTGAAATCAACTTAATATATAAATGAGTTTTTTTTTTTTTTTTTTAATTCATGATTTTTTTTTTTTTTTTTTTTAATTCATGAAATTATCAAATAAACTGATTTTGAATTCAGTCACAATTCAAACAAGCCAAGCTCGATTATTTTTAAATGAGTTAAAAGATGGAGCGAAATCTAATTAATTGGTTCCTTTTCTTTGCAAAAAGAGGATGTACAAGACCAGTCAAACTGGGAATGGAATTCTACGTAACTGACCACTCAAACACTAAAAATTGATATTGCGGCCAAAAAAATACGAACATCGTTTAATTTTAAGAAAAAAACATTAGATATTATTGTGTCCATAAGCTACACGCAATGAAAAGCCCATCTCATTCATTTAATTACAACCTAGGACCGGGTGGTCCCTTTGGTAGAAAACTAGAAAAGAGCTAGTTAGTCATGGTCAACTCAAGTTGCTGGATTGATGAGCTTAGTAACCATATTCTTGGCGTCCATTTTCTTAGATAAAATATATCAACTTTTTGAAAATAAACTTTGATGATCTAATCAATAATAACTTCATCATAGTAACCTAAACAAAAAAAATACAAAATAAATCCCATGTAATCCCATTTTTCAAATAGTTTAAACAGAAATCCCAAATAGATCCCACAAAATCCCATTTTGTAATTTGCAAAAAAAAAAAAAAAAAAAAAAAAAAAAAAAAAAAAAAAAAAGAGATATCAGCATTACAATAATGCATCCTAGGCTCCTAGCTAGCATATAAACTGAATTTACCCTAATCTTGCAAAAAAGTGGAGAGTAGAAGTACTGTAATTGCAGTTTGATTAACTAATTTAGTTAGGGCAGGACACTATGTGAAGGAATAGGTGGTCTTCAACTAACAAAGGGAAGAAAATAGGAACTAAGTGCAGATAATGAATTGGATATCAACCTGGAGCTCAAAGCCTCAATGATGTCCTAACCACTCTACATTCTTGATTCAACTTCAACCTATCATTATTGTATGGATATTTAACTGGTAGAAACATTTCACCTTCACCTACACTTTACAACCCATAGACTCTATCTTAATCGCCTGATCATTTACAGAAAGTTTCTGTGCTATACCAACACATGCCTATAAAATTCAGAAAAGAAAAAGGCTACACTGCGCAGGGCTGGACCAATACATTAGGGTATGGTACAATCCTTTTAATTATCTGTTCATTCTTCATGTCCTAAGACGACATTCTAGCCCTAGAAATTTGAATCCTCTATTATGAGTTCTTGATTTCGAATCTTGTTAGCTGGATTTTGAGATGATATGAAAACGAAAGAACCCTGTCAGATTCAATATTTTAGGGGACGCGAACCTTGTAAGACCTAAAACACTTATTCACTTTCTCTCTCTATTATTGAAGACATAGATAAACCATGAATGAAACTTTCAAAGCTAACTAGCTCTGCATGCAATGCAAGTGAAGAAATGGAACCAGAGATGATGAATAGTTGCATCAAAACTAGAAATCTCTTTCCATTTATATAACAGTGAGAAATTAGTTAGATTTAGACTGAAAGTGGATCCAATCTCATTATAGAATGGGTTGGGCTGAGATTTAAATCACTTGATCATGAACCGGCCCAATGATACTCCACGTTTGTATCATCGTTCGGTTCCTGTGGTTCAATAAGTCCAGCGAATTTGGGCTTCCTTTTGATCGAAATGTAATCAATTGGATTGAGTCGATAGTTCTTCTTGGATTTGGGCTTGAATTTATAAAGTTGGTTAAGAGAGTTTAAAGCTTCAGATGGAAAGCCAGAAAAAAAGTTTGATTTTGGCAATACGGCAGCAAGTGAGGTAGTTTTGCCAAATTTGTTATATGTTTTTTTAACCAAGTTGGTTTGCTTGCCTACCTATTCTGTTACTTAATTAGTTTATATCTTTTTTTTAGCTAAACTGCAATAGTTAATGAGTGTAGCAAATTTCCGTATGCAAGATCATGCCTTACCAATTTTCTGTTTCATGTATATTTAATTCAGTTTCCAGAAAAGCACAAAAATGAACCAATTGAAAGGTCAAAACGAAACAATTAAGCAAAACTGTCAATTATAATTCCCTCATAAGGTTGTCTATTTTTTGGGGTCAAAATAAATTTACCTTGCTTCCACGTGAGGCAACACATATTGCTACGTTTGCGTCTATATGTCCATCGTAGCTATTGTCGTATAGTCGTATTTAGCATGCTAAATGCACTTTTTTTTAATATACCAATAGGTAAGATTAAACAAATAAGTATTATTACCAAATGATTAAGCTGTCTCTTGCTAAATAGTATTAATTTCTTTAGCACAAAGAATAATTATTAAGAAAAATAATAGATGAGCAACGACGCGTCGACTTTCCACTGCAAGTGGCATACGTAAGTCTGTCAATGGAGGGCACCGTTTTATTTAGCATTTTACGTCATACTTTAGTTCTCGCCGTAGCCAGCTGGCGCGTATTCCGTACTCCTACCATTGCCTCTACGCGGTAAAATCACCCAAAAAACTCGAAAACTGAAAACAGAACCGCCCCACCCCTTTACAGATCTTATCTTACGCCAGTCACAGCTCCTCCATTTCCATTTTTATCTCTTCATTTCCAAAATCAAATCTCTCTTTGAATTTAGAAGAAGAACCCAAAATTGGCAAATTATTCCCATTGAAATTTTGGCATAATATTCAATTTCCATATCTTTTCTGTCATATCCATTTTGGTTTTACTTGATTTCAAGCGAATCTCCCTATAGATTCCTTCCTATTCTAGGGTTTCGCCGAGGATTCCGATGAATCTACGCCGTCGATCATGTAATTAGTCAGTCGATCAAAATGGCTTCTATTCGTCGAACGCTGTCACCCGCCTATCACGACCGTACATATCAAAACGGCAGTTCTGGCGTCAACTCTCCATTATCAGTTTCTTCACCGTCTCATAAGTTTTTCACCAATAGCGGCACTAAGTACTCCACTCCGTTTGCCTCCTCCTTGTTTAGTTTTAACGTCTTTCCCCTCCGCTGGTTTCTCACCGCCGCGTTCTTTCAAAAACGGAAAGGATTTCGTAGATCTTTATATAGATGCTTGATTTTCTTTGCTGTAGGGTTCTTTTTGGGTTTGTTCTTGTTTGGTCCTTTGGAAAATGATGTCCAGAATCACGACTTCTCCTTCGAGATCAAGCCGCCGCATGTCAATGTTCAATTGGATGACGGCGGCGGCGATAATCGCGGTATTAAGCGAGACGTTTTTGCCCTAAATTCTGTGAGTTTGGGGGTTGATACGCAAGTTAATTACATTTCGAGATTTGATTATGTTCCGAGGAAGCAATTAATCGTGATTACGCCAACATATAATCGTGCTTTGCAGGCCTTCTTTCTGAATAGATTAGGGCAAGTTCTAAGGCTAGTGCAGCCTCCGTTACTGTGGATTGTGGTGGAAATGAAAACCGCCTCTGTGGAGACGGCAGAAATTTTGAGGAAGACGGGAGCTATGTATAGGCATTTGGTTTGCGAGAGAAATTCGACTAATGTTAAAGACAGAGGAGTCCACCAGAGGAATGTGGCTTTGGAGCACATAGAGAGGCATAGGCTTGATGGTATTGCTTACTTTGCCGATGATGATAATGTTTATTCGCTTGAGTTGTTCGAGAGCTTAAGAGATATCAGGTAATTAACACCTCTATATTGGAATCTGAAAATATTTGAATCATTGTTGTTAGTTCCAGTCTGTTAATTGATCTATGGTAGTTTGCAACTTTCTTCATTATTTGCTTCTGTCATTTTCTTTGCTTTGAATTGAGTTGGTCGATCGAATTCCCATGTATTGTATTTTGTCTGAGTGAAATCACTTGGCATCAATGTAACATAGTTCTGATATCTAAGTGGAGTTGTTTCTGTTTGCTGCAATGTATAGTATTTTCCCTTAAAATATATGCTGCATAATCATTGAGGTGAAGCAATTTTCGTTTAGTAAAGATAAAGATGACTTTGTTATTCTCCTTTAAAGCAATGGGAAACATATAGTGTTGTATCATTAGAGTTTGCTAGATATAATTATAGCCAATCTCTCTTTAAGTGGATTTTTTGTCTTCAGGCTTTTTCTTAAACATTATAGCTATTATGTTATTTATTGTCCTGCATTGGCAAGTTCTTTATATTACCCTACTTGTTTTATAGCCGATTTGGTGCTTGGCCTGTTGCGATGCTTGCCCAAAGCAAAAACAAAGCTATTTTGGAAGGTCCCGTATGCAATGGAAGTCATGTAATTGGATGGCACACCAACGAAAAAAGTAAAAGACTCCGAAGGTTTCATGTTGATATGTCAGGATTTGCTTTCAACAGCACTATCTTGTGGGATCCTAAGAGATGGCGGCGCCCATTTTC